TAACACCAAAAGTATCCAAATGTAAGACACCAAGATGTGCTACATGTCCTATGATTATCGAGTGTAATACTTTTATTTTCAAGAATGGTTTGAAATTTACTGTGAAGGTAAATATGAATTGTAAATCAAAAAATGTAATTTATGCAATCGTTTGTTCTAAATGTGGTGATTTTTACATCGGTCAAACCGGTAATGAACTCAGAACACGTATGACTGTACATAGACAACAAACTAGAACTGATTCTTTACGAAATCTTCATGTTAACAAACATATTCATGAATGTGCTGGAGATAAATTTAATGTATTACCTTTGTATCAACTATTTTCATCAGACACTATTTTAAGAGAAACGAAAGAAGACCAACTAATAAAAATATTAAAACCGAGTCTCAACAGGCCACAATAAAATTTTACGCCAAATTGTCCACCAATCTTGTGTACTTCGTGACGTCACGTTACTATTGTAGTGTGATGACATGTAATTGTGACGTCACGACGTTGTTCTCTTTTGAATAAACCTGAAGAGCCCTGTGAAGGGTGAAAGCAGCTAGTTTTTTAGTCGGTCGTTAATTTTATTTTTTCTATATTTACTTCCTTCACATGGACATTTAATCACTTTTTATTATATATATATATATATATATATATAACAGCGCTTCCTTTAAAATTGGCAAAAATGTTACCTAGGTGCAGAAAATTAGGGTATGAAAGGGTTACTGGTTACAAATTTGTTTGGCCTATTGTAGCATTATTTCAGTACTACTGGGCATGGTACTGGTGCAGATAGATCCAGGTTTTATTATATCTAGCTAGTAAAGGTAATATAGGTACATCAGCTACAGTATATAGGTAATACAGGAATAGCTACATCATCTACAGTATATAGGTAGTACAGGAATAGATTCATCAGCTACAGTATGTAGGTAATACAGGAATATCTACATCAGCTACAGAATAGGTAATACAGGAATAGCTGCATCAGCTACAGTATGTAGGTAATACAGGAATATCTACATCAGCTACAGGATAGGTAATACAGGAATAGCTTCATTAGCTACAGTATATAGTTAATAGAGGAATGGCTACATCAGCTACATTATATAGGTAGTACAGGAATAGTTTCATCAGCTACAGTATAGTTAATACAGGAATAGCTACACCAGCTACAGTATAGGTAATACAGGAATAGCTACATCATCTACAGTATAGGTAAGACAGGAATAGGTACATCAGCTACAGTATGTAGGTAATACAGGAATATCTACATCAGCTACAGGATATAGGTAATACAGGAATATCTACATCAGCTACAGTGGATGTAATACAGGAATAGCTACACCAGCTACAGTATATAGGGAGTACAGCAATAGCTTCATCAGCCACAGTATATAGGTAATACAGGAATAGCTACATCAGCTACAGTATATAGGTAGTACAGGAATAGCTTCATCAGCTACAGTATATAGGTAATACTGAATAGCTACATCAGCTACAGTATATAGGTAATACAGGAATATCTACATCAGCTACAGAATATAGTTAATACAGGAATAGCTTCATTAGCTACAGTATATAGCATACGCCTGCTACTTTGCTTTAAGCTGATGAAGCTATTCCTGTATTTCCTATATACTGTAGCTTCATTAGCTACAGTATATAGGGAATACAGGAATAGCTGCATCAGATACAGTATATAGGTAATACAGGAATAGCTACATCAGCTACAGTATAGGTAATACAGGGATAGCTACATCAGCTACAGTATATAGGTAATACAGGAATAGCTTCATTAGCTACAGTATATAGGTAATACAGGAATAGCTACATCAGCTACAGTTGTGGTAATACAGGAATAGCTACATCAGCTACAGTATAGGTAATACAGGAATAGCTACATCAGCTACAGTATATAGATAATACAGGAATAGCTACATCAGCTACAGTATAGGTATTACAGGAATAGCTACATTAGCTACAGTTGTATGGACTGTTTTTAAAATGTTTTATTACATTGTTACATGTATATTTCAGACTACACAGTCATCATTTCTTTAATCATTTGCAGATAAATCCACTTAAATAGAAGGGTTGTAACAGCTACGTATTGGCATGATCTCTAATGAATGGAGTTTTTAATTGATCTCCAAAATATTGTGTTATGAGTTGACTGATTATATATACCTTTTCCTTGCTTACAGGCCACCATGAAGGCGGTCAAGTGTCCGACAGATGACCTGTCCTACACCAATAGGGTCATTGTCAGTGACAAGGACTTCGATGAGAAAACTGGCAGGTATGTTTAGCAAATTATAAAAAAAGTTAATATGTAGCTACAGGCACTGTAGTTATACAATAGTTATGTATGGAATTACAGTAATTACAGTATACTATCTTTAATATAATTATGATTAATATCTCCTGTTTCTACATTTGAAATAGTCCACCCATGCCAAATTATACTTTGACAAAGAAGGATATATGCACTAATATAGTTATACAAAATGTAGATTATGCCTTGGATTAAAAGAAAGTTTTCGCAGTAACACTGAATAGGTTTGAACCAATCACTCAAGTGACCTAGAATGGTTGTAGTGCTGCATGTGACGATACACGTATGAAACACACTTAGAATTTACATATACCCTGGTAAATCCCTTTCAATGAAATGACCATTAGCTGAATTTATCAGGATACAAATGTGCAAATTGAACAAATGTTTTGTTTGATGCTTATAATTATAATGTTATAATGATATATTATATTGTTGGACAGCCATGTTAAAATCTACACCTCACCGAGCAGGTCATTTGTGTTTACCATCAAGGCTATCCCTCGTATGACCCAAGGCACAATGGGCTTCAATCTACCACAGGTAAGTAAAACAAACCGCACACATGGGTTCTTCTTGGACTTGAGTTATGCATGTTTCATTTTGAGATTGATCGGGGAAAAACAAGATTGCCTCCAGGATTCAGTTTTGCTATTACTTGAGAAGAACTTGACAGACCTTTCCCAAATACCATATGTAGGTTCCCATGGGTCATTGGTTTTGCATGTGTTATTTTAAAACTCATTGAAAAAACAAGATGGCTGCCAGTCAGCCATCTTGGATTTGGAGGTTGTGCGTTTCTGATTTTTGATTGATCAGATAAACAAGATGGCCACCTGGTAGCCATCTTGGATTTGTCATTTCAAATTTGTTCTCACTATTTGTTTTGATAATTGGAGTAATAAAATCATTTACCAGGATCAGGTTGTTCAAGGAAGAAAATAAAGGACATGGTAAAAAGAGTTAAGTATTAACAAGCTTATGATATGTCCTGCCTGTATTGCTTGCCATTAAATGGTGTATACCTTGCTTCCTGTCTAACAGTGGCATCATTTGTTATGATGATAAAAAAAACAAAATTTGCAGATATATTGTATTTTCTGTGCATTTCTCTTATTACAGAGGAAATGGGCTTTAATATCACTAAATCAAGAGCTGACGTTCAAATCAGTCACGTTCAACCCACGCACAGAGAGTATAGGGACCATCACCCTGGAGGTGGACTTTCTACAACAGAGAATGTGAGTACATGTATATGCTAGTGTAGAGAGAGAACTTAAAACAGGTAAATAATAACCACTCTGTCACTATATAGCATACAGTGTCATACCATACTAGACGGATAATTTACACACTTTATTTACATTTGCTCTGCATCCTTCCATTGCAATGTATTGAGAAGGAAAATGTTGTTATGAGACTATAACAACATTTGCTATTGTAACGTCAGGAATCTCTATTGTGATGTCATCAATTTAGTTGTTGTCAATACTTAATTTGCTCTTTAAAAACTGTTCGAAATAACTAAATAAAGCGTAACTACTCTACCAAAATGTAAATTAAAGTAATGAATATTTTTAGCAAATATTGTTGTGGTCCTATAACACACATTTCTAGTGCTGACAAACTTACATAAAGGGCTTTATTAAGTTTGTCAGCAATAGAAATGTGTGTTATAGGACCATAACAACATTTCTAAAACATTCATTGCTTAAATATAGAAAACCATATAATACGTATACCATCCTAGACGGCTAATGAACACACTATGTAGCATACAATACAGTATATAAATATAGAAAACCATATAATACCATCCTAGACAGATAATGAACACACTATGTAGCATACAATACAGTATATAAGACATGGTTTGAGTTTTGTAATCTGTCCAATGCTATGTATCTTCTTCATTGTATACTTATTAAATAGTTTCTTTGAAGTGTGTTTTGTAAAATAATATATACTTAACATGCTGTCAGGATAACCTTTTTACTGTTTCCAGGGCCAATTCTGACCCTTACGATACCGAGAAGATGGCACAGGAGTTTCTCATGCAGTTTGCCACTCAAGCATTCACTGTTGACCAGTTCCTGGCTTTTAACTTTGCTGAAAAAAAGATGTTGGGGGTTGTTATAAAAGAGGTCGAAGGTATGTCCTCAAGTTTTAAAGTCATAGAAAACCCCATAAAATCAAGTGTTGTACATGTATAAAATATTCTTTTATTTCTTGTCAAAAATTTCGGATAGAGATTTGATTAATATGTGAATTGTTTGTTACATTAAAGTAGATTTTTTTTTCATTTCAAATTACAATTACCAGGAATATTGAAATATGTACTTGAATTTTGTTGTGATTTGTTTCTCTTTAATACACATCAGATCAATATATGTAGATATATTTCAATTTCTGTTTCAGCCAGTGATTTCACCCAAATGAAAGATGGAGCTCCTACATTGAAAAAGGTGACGATAGTTTTAATTTAGAGTTATTACTTTTATTTATAAATAAATCTCAGATTCAATCTCAAAATTATATATGATATTTATTACTGTTAATCTTGTTATATTATTGATTTTAGTTTTAATATCCACTGATGTTGAAATAGCATCCTCTTATCAATATTTTTTTGAAGCATTGATTTCTATAGATAAGTACTTCCACTGTTGAATAGTGTCCTCTCAATATGGAGAATCTAAGTATTCTTTAAGAAAACCCACAGGCATGGTTCGTGAAATAAAGAACTAGCAAATGTAAAATTCTTTGCAGTATAAGATATTGTTCAATACACATATTCCTATATAAGTTTTATATGGTTATATTATTACATTCATCTGTCATCTGGTATTTAAATATGTTGTTGTATATTTTTGTTACATCAATATTTATGGAACATTCACTTATAATGGCTGATTTGTTCTGTCGACAGTCCAATATGGGTGTGCTGACACCTAACACAATAGTCCTGTTTGAAAAGGCTGAGAACTCTACCCTCCACCTGACCGGCAAAGCCAAAACGTGAATATAATAACAACTTATTATATAATGAATGATAACAATTTATTATTAGCTCACCTGGTCCGAAGGACCAAGGTGAACTTATGCCATACTGTTACGTCCGTCGTCTGTCCGTCATCCGTACGTCAACAATTTCTTTGAACGACTTCTTCTTAACCACTGATTGGAATTTAACCTAATTTGACTGGAAGCATCCCTAGGTGGTGGGGATTCAAAATTGTTCAAATGGGGGGCCAACCCCCCCAGGGGGCAGATACGCGGCCATGGATATTGATGATATTTGGTCGAAAGCATTCATGGGAGGCAGGGATTCAAAATTGAACAAATTGCTGGGCATGAAAAATCTAATACAGATATCTACAAGGATTGGCCTTGGGGTCTGGCATATTCCCTTGGATCTCATTTGGAGAATATTTTGCCATGATTGCTTAGATATCCAGGTGAGCGATACAGGCCCTCTGGGCCTTTAGTATATTTATATGTACATATACAGCCAGACCTTCTCAAGATATACCACCTTTTTTTAAAGACTACCTTTGTTAAGAGACACTGATAAACTCTTCACTGCAGTTATTTTTATATTGACTGAGAACCTTAATCAAGAGACCATCTACATTTAGAGATAACTTCATGGACACAAAGGTGGTCTCCGAATACAAGTTTGACTGTACATGAGGGACAGTGATAATATCTATCAGTTAATAAGAGATTAACAATTATATTCCAATTGTGAAAATCATATTTTTGGATGTAAAATTCGAAATTACAACATTTAACATTATTTATCGTTTAACATAATTTGGCATTGAAGATAAAGATATTGAGTTTAGTAGATGTTCGCCTTTATATTAGGTATATTTCTGATAGCTAAATGACTGATATCCTGTTCAGGTTGAATAGTATTGCATTTCAAAATAACTATTAAATATGGAATGATTTTTAATAGAGCACCCAGCTAGGGCCATTGGAGGCCGAGAATGTATGGCCACTGTTTAAAAAAAAACGCTACTAAAAATCACACTTGGTAATTATATATAATACATGGAAACACTTGACTTGTTTGACTTGAATCTGCTGGAGTCCTGTTCATTCAAATGAGCAGCAGGATTGCCGCCTGCTCAAAACATTTCTTCCCAGGTATTTCAGAGAATGAAGCAGACAGTTTTGTTTTAATAATGCAGTGAGATGGAGAAGGTCAATTAATTTAAATATCCTGCAGCAGACAGATTAAAATGTTTTGAGATGTTTATTTGGAAAAATAACCTGAGTTTATACAAAGTCTCTGACACATTTTCTCCTGTAACGTTGACTCTACAGAAAACAAGCCCACACATCCATTATCAATCCTGACTGGAACTTCCAGAAGATGGGCATCGGTGGTCTGGACAATGAATTCTCTGCCATCTTCAGGCGAGCGTTCGCATCAAGAGTGTTCCCTCCGGAAGTCATAGAACAACTAGGTAAGTAAGGGGTCGGTTATTCCTTCAGCTAGAAGATTCTGGCTTGTCTCCCGGTTTCTTTCCCTCAGCTAGAAGATTCTGGCTTGTCTCCCGGTGTCTTTCCCTCAGCTTGAAGGTTCTTGTCGGCCAAATGGTTTCTTTCCTTCAGCTAGAAGATTCTGGCTTGTCTCTCACTATAAATGGATAAAAAAAATCTTGTTTTATTATTATTATCTTGTCAATTATTTGGAAAAACAATGAAAAGACCAAAAGCCGAATACTGTTTTCAATGTTTACATTTGACCTTTTGATCGTTTGACATGATTTAACTGAGTTACAAGAAAGTTGTTTTGAGCACAAAATCAATGCTTGAGCATGAGAACAGTTTCAGGAATACGGGCCCTGGTGTGTACTTATATCCTGTTTATCCTACTAAAGGGTAAATCATTCTGTAGAGGACAATTATAAATCGTATCAACATTCTCTGATGTTAGATCTAAACACAGATTTTTTGACAGTGAAATAGCTTTTAATTCTGATTATGTGATAAGTGTGAGTTTTATGTTCCTCCAGGAATGAAGCATGTCAAAGGTATCCTGTTGTTTGGTCCTCCAGGGAACGGCAAAACACTGATGGCAAGGTGTGTACTGTTATCTTACAACTTAGATCTCACATGAATGTCTTAATGTCACAGTGAGTAAACAAAGAAACAAAGAAATGCTCGCTACCGATAGGACTGAATGAAATTTCCTTGTAGCTCCGTTGACTTGTAGCTCCATTGAATTGTAGTTCCGTTGACGGAGCACTGAACTAGCTACACATTTTGCCATACACATGTATGCACCAGTTTCTGTTAAACTTTAGTTATCGGTATAGCATGATGTGAAGCTTTGATTGTGCCATTTTATTTCCTGTTGTGACACTTATTATAGGAGTTATGCCCCTTTACTCGATGAATGCACATACAACATTATGTGAAGCTCTGTATATAGGACTGTTTTATGGTTTTGATGCACTAATTATATGTGAATGTATGTATTTTGTTTGAATCTGATGTAGGCAAATAGGAAATATGTTGAATGCCCGAGAACCCAAAATTGTCAACGGCCCCCAGATCCTCGACAAGTATGTCGGAGAGTCTGAAGCCAAGATCAGAAACTTGTTCAAGGATGCAGAGGAAGAAGAGAAGCGGGTGAGTTGTCTCCCTTCGCTCTGTATTAGGGATAAAGTGTTCTTTCCTGTTATATAGAACTATGCCAAAATAAGTTGTCCAAATAAAAAATATAATGATGGCTTGGTAATCCAGACTCCAAAAAACTACAATATAACCTTTTTTTTAACCAAGAAGTATGAAGTTTGGTGAATAATCTTTTTTTCTGAAAAAATCACTTTACCAATACATCTGATTCACTTTAGAAAGAAAAGGTATCTAACCCTAAACAACCATTCGTTCAGGTCCAAAAAATACATTTTATGTCTTTGTATAGAAACATTTTCGCCATTATGCATTGGACAATTGTTCAATGTTATTTGTTTACCTGTGAAGTGAACATTTTACACGTCGACTAGGAATTGTTTTGCCTATCATATTGAAATCTTGTTTTAGGGAAGACATTTAATATACTTACCCATAGAGAGTGAGGTTTCCAAAAGAGTTTGTCTGTAAGATACTACGAAGTATGAAAAGGAAGTTGAATCTTTGTGTCCCCTGTTTTGTGTTTTCACAGTGTGGACTACATAGTGGATTACACATCATCATCTTTGATGAAATCGACTCCATCTGTAAATCCAGAGGATCTGTGGTACGTTTACAGCCAGGAAGTTTACACATTTCAATACATCTGGTGAAATTGTTCATAACTTTTAATCAAGATACTAAGCTTTGTTTTATGTATCTGTGTATCGCAATGAGAAAGTTGATTAATTGTGTATTTTGTCCTTCCTGCCATATGTAAACATGCTAAAACAATAATTTTTGGGTACCCTGACAAATTGTCTGACCTTTTGATAGAAAATCTCCAAGTGTTAAATTTGTCCTTGTATTCTTTGCAGTACTGGTTACCATATCTATTATATTTGTTCTTTTGTTGAATTCATTAATTCTCCCGTCAGGAGAAAATGCAGTGGAAAAGTTCATGTTGAAAAGTATTACAGTTTCTGTGTATATTGACAATGTTTAGAACAGTGGTAAAATTCCTAATAGCACTGGATCTGGGGGGAAATCTGTAGATTATATTACAGCATTACTTAAATCGCAACAGAATCAAAGTTATGTTATACATACAGGTATGTAAACTGCCTGAAGGAAGGAATGATTACATTTCTTCCAATGTGATTTCATGAGTTCTGTTTATAGGAAAGGTGACAAATTTCAGTGCAGTACTTTTGCGATTCATTGTTGGTGCGAAAAACGCTTAAATAAGATCACTGCTAAAAACGCTTAAATAAGATCAGTGCTAAAATACGAACTTTATCAGTATCTGTTAACTTTGATGTATAGAAACATATATGTTCTGTTCTAAACTTACTTTTAATAAGAGAACTGATTATGTTCGTGTTTTCTCCCAATCCAGGCTGGAAACACAGGCGTCCATGATACCGTAGTCAACCAGCTGCTGGCCAAGATTGATGGCGTGGAACAACTCAATAACATCCTGGTCATCGGTAAGTCAAACATCAGACATACCTATATCCCCTCATTGGGAGGGTTGGGAAATAATCACAAGCCTACGAGGGGCAGTTGCCAGGTACTGGCCCTGGGTCGGTAGTTTTTCTCCAGGTTTTCTTTCATCTGGCTTTCTTCCACCATCGAAACCATTAAATGACCATAACTGAGATTTAAAAGTGTTTTTGGATACTTTTTTTTCACAGTTCTACATTTAAAAATCATTCTGTTGATATATGAGCTTTTATAATTTACCCATAATTTAGATAAATCTGTACACAGATTTTGTATTATTATATATTTTTAGTTTCTTGGGGAAAGAGATAATTGAATGACAAGTTTTACCTGATGAAATGAAAGTACAAGCTACTTTACTGCAGTATGTCTCTGTTATATTGTAGATACATAATATGTACCGTTAAATTTTTGGCACAGTTTAATTTTTGCCTTTTTCGCCGTCCGTAATGAGGGCGAATTTATCACAGTAGTGAAAATAAGTACACAACGTTCTATTCCTAGGAATAACATGTCAAGGTCGAAAATAATACTGCACAAAAACAGATTATACCAGTGGAGGGCAAAAAAAATATTCATGTAATAAACTGTATCTAGGTTTAAAATTCTCAGGTTTGTCAGTTAAATAAAACCTATCCTAGATGGGAAAATGTTGATTGTTATGCTAATTAAAATTGTACGACTTTTGTTTACCCTCAGGAATGACCAACCGGAAGGACATGATAGACGAGGCTTTACTCCGACCGGGCCGACTGGAGGTACAGATGGAGATAGGTAAGCTATTGAGAAGTTTATCAATAAAAGCTCATTAACCAGGATTATGTGAATAGATATCCTGGTGATTAAATTATTTAAAATACAATACTTAAAAAAGATTAGGTAAAATCTATCCCTCAGAAACACATGATTTAAGCACCGTACCAGTCAAGGTCACAATTGCACTTCCTGTTGCTGTAACACAATTTATGACATCACCTTGTGGTTAAGGTTAAATTTCCCGATGTAAGCAGTAAAGGCATTTTATAGTAGATATTGTATCTGGTTTGTGATAATGGCAGAGGTGATGAAACTTGATGTAATATCTTCAAGTGTCTTGCCATAAGCAAGCATATTGATTTAAAAACCTTGAGAAAGATAATTCCAGCTGATATTTTACTCCAGGTCTTCTTTATCACAAAGACAGAAACCAGGTTTTGATATAAGTGGGTATTGTACTTCAGGTCGTCAGGTCGTCCTGATGAGAAGGGAGGTAAATATAACCAGATTATGATTTATATTAGTTGGTGGTGTACTTTAGGTCGTCCTGATGAGAAGGGAGGTAAATATAACCAGATTATGATTTAGTTGGTGGTGTACTTCAGGTCGTCCTGATGAGAAGGGAGGTAAATATAACCAGATTATGATTTAGTTGGTGGTGTACTTTAGGTTGTCCTGATTAGAAGGGAGGTAATTATAACCAGATTATGATATTAGTGGGTATTGTACTTCAGGTCGTCCTGATTAGAAGGGAGGTAATTATAACCAGATTATGATTTAGTTGGTGGTGTACTTTAGGTTGTCCTGATGAGAAGGGAGGGAAATATAACCAGATTATGATTTATATTAGTTGGTGGTGTACTTTAGGTCTTCCTGATGAGAAGGAAGGTAATTATAACCAGATTATGATTTATATTAGTTGGGGGTGTACTTTAGGTTGTCCTGATGAGAAGGGAGGTAATTATAACCAGATTATGATATTAGTGGGTATTGTACTTCAGGTCGTCCTGATTAGAAGGGAGGTAATTATAACCAGATTTTGATATTAGTGGGTATTGTACTTCAGGTCGTCCTGATTAGAAGTGAGGTAATTATAACCAGATTATGATTTAGTTGGTGGTGTACTTCAGGTCGTCCTGATGAGAAAGGAGGTAAATATAACCAGATTATGATTTAGTTTGTGGTGTACTTCAGGTCGTCCTGATGAGAAAGGAGGTAAATATAACCAGATTATGATTTAGTTTGTTGTGTACTTCAGGTCGTCCTGATGAGAAAGGAGGTAAATATAACCAGATTATGATTTAGTTTTTGGTGTACTTCAGGTCGTCCTGATGAGAAAGGAGGTAAATATAACCAGATTATGATTTAGTTGGTGGTGTACTTTAGGTTGTCCTGATTAGAAGGGAGGTAATTATAACCAGATTATGATCTAGTTGGTGGTGTACTTTAGGTTGTCCTGATGAGAAGGGAGGTAAATATAACCAGATTATGATTTAGTTTGTGGTGTACTTCAGGTCGTCCTGATGAGAAAGGAGGTAAATATAACCAGATTATGATTTAGTTGGTGGTGTACTTCAGGTCGTCCTGATGAGAAAGGTTATAACAAGATTTTGATTTAGTTGGTATTATACTTCAGGTCTACCTGATGAGAAGGGCCGTTTGCAGATATTACAGATACACACGACTACAATGAGGGAGAACAACAAACTAGCTCCCGATGTCAACATTGCTGAGCTGGCTGTCCTCACGAAAAACTTCAGTGGAGCAGAGATAGAAGGACTGGTCAGGTCGGCACAGTCTACAGCCATGAACAGACTCATCAAGGTACAGAAACGATCAAATAGTGTACATCTAGAAGCAAATTCTTCTTTCATAAATAGTTACCTTAATATCATATCTTATAATCTAGGTATTTGTTCAAGCTTAAATGTCATGATAACATACACGTTACACAATTGTTTTTCGAAAGAAAAATCATACTACAATGTAATATATTGTCTACAATGTATTATATTGTCTTTAATTTTAGAGTCATTCGTAAATCATGTTAATCCTATTTAAAAAATACAATTGCTATCACTGGGAAGGTTTTTTATCATTTTTTTTTTCAACTGAAACAAATAAATTGTGAATTGATTTTAAATTGTTGTGATATTTGTTGCAGGCCACCTCCAAGGTTGAAGTAGACTCAGAGGCCATGGACAAACTGTGTGTCACAAAGCTGGACTTTATACATGCCCTTGAGAATGATATTAAACCGGTGGGTACTCCGATATGACTGTTAAGTCACTGAGGAATCTCATAAATATGAACTCTTGACCCCAAAATATCTAGATCACTCGCTATCTAGACAGTCAAGATATTCAAAATAGCACTTTGTAGTGTACTATCTTCTAAATATTGTAATACTCATGTTGTATTAGGGCTATTCCATAATTTATTATAAGGGGGAGATGGGAGACACCTATATTACTATATTATGGCTGATGGGGTTTAAACCGAATCTCCCTACCATTCCTTATATTCAGTAACTTTTAACATCGATCCAGGAGTAGAGCCAACGCCGTTATTGTAGTTTAGGTTTGGTAGGTTCCGTTTATCCCTTGCCTGGATACCAACCAGTATGCAGGGCGATTGAAAAATAGGAAAATAAGCGTAGGAGTCAATCGCAACAAGCTCAGGATAAGTTGAATCTTATTTATTGGGTATGTCTACCGGTTTCGCCCGAACAGTGGGCTTCTTCAGTCCTTCGCCCGAACAGTGGGCTTCTTCAGTCCTGAAGAAGCCCACTGTTCGGGCGAAACTGGTAGACATACCCAATAAATAAGATTCAACTTATCCTGAGCTTGTTGCGATTGACTCCTACGCTCAGTAACTTTTAAGATTATATAAGTGGTTGTATCTCTGAAAAAGTGCCTGCCTCCCCTCTGGTAAATTCTGGAACAGCCTTAAAAATTGTTTTTCATGAAATGAACATCTACAGATATAAATGTGTTGTTAATTAATTATGTGAATGCTTTGGTCAAAAGATATTTGAACATGTGAGTTGCTCTCCTAGTTGAATGATTTACATGAACATGTCAAGGTGTTGGGAACATTGTGTTATACACTTGATTCTAAAGACTCTTTCCTGTCGACTTCAGGCATTTGGTAGCAGTAAGAACGAGTTTGAGAAGTATCTGTCCAACGGAATCATCAACTGGGGAGACCCAGTCAGTCGAGTGATGGAGGACGGAAACCTGTTAATCGCCCAGGCCAAGGCCAGCCAAACAACGCCATTAGTCACAGTTCTTCTAGAGGGTAAATCCTGCAGCACAGACCAGCATAAATTGGTCTAGGTCATCTGATACAATACAGGCCAGCATAAATTGGTCTAGGTCATCTGATACAATACAGGCCAGCATAAATTGGTCTAGGTCATCTGATACAATACAGACCAGCATAAATTGGTCTAGGTCATCTGATACAATACAGACCAGCATAAATTAGTCTAGGTCATCTGATACAATACAGGCCAGCATAAATTAGTCTAGGTCATCTGATACAATACAGGCTAGCATAAATTAGTCTAGGTCATCTGATACAATACAGGCCAGCATAAATTAGTCTAGGTCATCTGATACAATACAGGCCAGCATAATTTAGTCTGGCTTTGTCAAGACTTGCCAAGTGTTTTCATGTTTGGGTAGAATCTAGAATGTTGTGTACAGATGGATTAATCCAAACCACATCCAAAAACTTAGACCTGAAAAATGATAAAGGGTTGTCATCAATTCTATTTTATCATCATGATCACAAAGACTCATCATCAGTAAAGGTTAAAGGTCACTAAGGGGTCATCATTTGTTCATATTACAATGGTTACCATGGAGTCACAATGAGTTCTTGTTCAAACTACAGAACTTCAGCTCAGGTGACATATTGCAATTGGTTTTCATCAATCTTTGTGCGACTACTGTCATCTGTAAACTTTTCTTCAAATTTTTGATTTCTTAAAAGCTGGTAAATAGAATTCTTTCAAATTTTGTAAGAACCATATTTGTTAGTAAAGGATTCTAAATTGTAAAATTAGGGTTCCTGTCAGCTGAGAGGGGCCCCAAATGGAAAATTGACCAATATTTAAAACATCATTTTCTCCAGACTCAGATGAACTAGAATCAAATACTTTTCACCAATAGAAAGGTTTTTATATTAGGGGCTTCATAAGAATTGTAAATTTCATTACCCCTGGGTCATTCTCTTTCTATCTTTCGTTGATGACGAGTCATGTGAACTATGTTACGAGTACCTTGTTTACATGATATTTTCCACTTTACATCTCGACAGGGTAAAATGAATATATTACAACTCAGGTGACCACTAAGGCCACTCAGGTCTCCCTGGTTTCTACTAGAATCTTTTTGTTCATTAATTGATGATCTTAATCAATTCATAACAGAATTAATATTGAAAATGAAAAGTCTTATTCTGCACAAACATGATTAAGAAGCATTGAAAGTGTCCTAGGACTTCAGATGATCACTGCAATCAGATATGGTGATTTGTCTGTTTACAGGTCCCCCTGGTAGTGGGAAGACGTCATTAGCTGCTACCATCGCTAAAACGGCTGACTTTCCATTCATCAAGATATGCTCACCTGAAAATATGATTGGTTTTACTGAAACAGCAAAATGTCAGGCCATCAAAAAGGTATGTGTTTGACCGACAAAAAAAAGTGTAGGGCGGAAATAGGGAGTTGTCTGTACCGATTTTCTATTATCAATCAGTCCCCATAGTAATTATACATTCAGTAAGACTTTCTGTTTTTTTGAAAAGTGTTTAATTTATTGAGGGTGATCCTTTTGAACTGCAGGACATGCATTTACATAGATAAGTATGGAAAGTTATGGATTCAATTTCCACCTTTTTTATAGTCTATGATTCATCAGTCTTTTGTATCTTAAAACTGGGTCCTTGTCTGTGTACGTAGACAGGAATCATAAAAAAAAATAAAAAAAAATAGCACTTTCCATAATAAATTCCATAATAAATTAGCACTTTCCTTATAAAATGAAAATGTACATATCTGCCTAACGGTGAAAATGTCTGTCTCACAAAATCCAAGATTACTAGCAAATTTGAGACCATGAAGTGATTTGAGTAGACAAAGTCTTTAATAGACGTGATTTGTAATGTTAACTCCAGAAATTCACATTAAAGAATTTCTCAATCTCTGATATTGTTTTATGATTAAAGTTTGAAATGCTGTAGAATTTTATTATCATCAGAAGATTTATGTAACTGTTTACATATTTCAGATATTTGATGATGCCTACAAATCATCAGAAGATAAATGTAACTGTTTACATGTTTCAGATATTTGTTATTCCTACAAATCATCCGAAGATTAATGTAACTGTTTACATTGTTCAGATATTTTGATGATGCCTACAAATCATCCGAAGATTAATGTAACTGTTTACATTGTTCAGATATTTTGATGATGCCTACAAATCATCAGATGATTAATGTAACTGTTTACATGTCTCAGATATTTGATGATGCCTCCAAAGCATCAGAAGATTAATGTAACTGTTTACATGGTTCAGATATTTGATGATGCCTACAAATCATCAGAAGACTAATGTAACTGTTTACATGTTTCAGATATTCGATGATGTCTACAAATCATCAGAAGATTAATGTAACTGTTTACATGTTTCAGATATTTGATGATGCCTACAAATCGCCACTAAGCTGTGTCATTATTGATGACATAGAGAGATTGTTGGGTAAGATTTCAATTTAATAATCACAAAACTGTTCAATCATACATACTTTACTGTTCCAGTTTCAAAATGACAATCAGAATGTAAGAAACATATCCTGCTTTATAGATTACTTATAGATTAAGAAGGTATCGTTTTACACAAGTACAATACTGTACTTTACTAGTGAAAAACCTAGGGTGCCTGTGCAAAAAAAGAAAATAGATCACATGTGGGGGTGGGCTTATGAAAGGACCTGAGCCGGTTTTTCTTGTGTAACACCAAAAAAGTGATGAATCTGTGAAATATTCACAATTCCTGGTAAGTTATGGTATACAAGATGTTGAATTGTGTCAAATCAATATTGTTAGTTATACTAATGAAATTTATGAAAGAAAAACACAAATATTTTATTAAACCTATCCAGTTGTACTGGTTCTGTGTCTAGTGACTAACAAACTGGCCACACAGTGGTCTTACAGCTATAGGTCTGTAACATTGGTTGACTGGTACGGTGACAGACTGAATCCTCTGTGTTACAGATTATGTGCCCATCGGTCCCAGGTTTTCTAACCTAGTACTGCAGGCACTACTAGTGTTACTGAAGATACCGCCACCTCACGTAAGTTTTATCAGAACCTCGCTGTGTCATATAGGATACTGTTGTCTAAGTTAAATAAGAACCTCGCTGTGTCATATATAGGATACCGTTGTCTAAGGTAAATAAGAACCTCGCTGTGACATATATAGGATACTGTGATGTGAGTTAAACGAGAACCTCACTATGTCATAGAATCCTTTGATGATGTGATGAACTTCACATTGTCATAAAATATAAAACGAATTTCCCGAAGACCACACTATGTCTGACATAGTACTGTGTAATTGTACAGATAAGATGTGTTACCAGTGATATCATTGTCCATTATGTATATTATCCCAGTGCCTGATGTGTGGAGCTCCAGGTTCATATTTTAACAGTGACATTATTGATAATTGTTGTTTGTACCTCAGGGTCGTAAGTTGCTGGTGATCGGGACAACGAGTCGTAAGGACGTCCTGAAGGAGATGGAGATGGCTAGTACCTTCTCTGCAATCGTACATGTGTCGAATATCTCCACTGCTGACCACCTCATGTGTGTCCTGGACAACACAGAACTCTTCAACAAGGAGGAGATGCAGACCTTACAGCGCAAGACCGCAGGCAAGAAGTCAGTACTCATTTTGAGCCTCAGACAGTCAGTTAGGTCCCTCTGTTGTAATGGTTTCTTTTATTTTCTGCTGAAGGTGTAAAACTCAGTGTAAAACTTCATATTGAAATCAATTTTACCCTCTTGTTTTGGTTACAGACAGCCAGCTAGATCACTATGTTATAATAAAATACATCTCTAGTGAAAATCCTGTAAAACATTTGCCGAGACAGATTGTTCATTTCACGCTGTCACATTCGCTTTAACATTGAGTCGAGGCCCTAGCAATTAGTGACAGTGTGTGTGACAGTGCAAAAAAGTGACCACACAAGTAAGATGTGCGTACAGTTTGTTTCAGCCGCCATGTTTGACTTTCAGTAGAATAAAATAAATACTACATTCAATAGAGTGTGACAGCACGCTTAGGGGTTGCCTCGGGTGACAGTGAAACCCTCGGGGTGACCCTAAGCACTGTCACACTCTAATGAATGTAGTATTCATATAATAATTTCTTTTACTATCAGCTATAAGGAACTCGGTGTAAAACTCAATATTCTATGCTGAAATCAATTTTACTTTTTTTCTTCCAGGTTATGGATTGGCATCAAGAAGCTGTTAGTACTTATGGAAATGGCTAGACAGGTAACATTGCCCTACATATTACTCACAGTGCTACATCATAGATAGGTAACATTGCCCTACAGATAACTCACGGCGCTACATCATATACAGGTAACATTGCCCTCCATATTACTCACGGTGCTTAATCATAGACAGGTAACATTACCCTACTTATTACTAACAGAGCTACATCATAGACAGTAAACATTACCCTACATATTCCTCACAGTGCTACATCATAGACAGGTAACATTACCCTACATATTACTCACGGTGCTACATCATAGAGAGGTAACATTGCCCTACATATAACTCACGGCGCTACATCATAGACAGGTAACATTGCCCTACATATTCCTCACGGCGCTACATCAGAGACAGGTAACATTGCCCTACATATTACTCACGGTGCTTCATCATAGACAGGTAACATTGCCTTACATATTACTCACGGAGCTACATCATAGACAGGAAACATTACCCTACTTATTACTCACAGTGCTACATCATAGACAGGTAACATTGCCCTACATATTCCTCACGGTGCTACATCATAGACAGGTAACATTGCCTTACATATTATTCACGGAGCTACATCATAGACAGGAAACATTACCCTACTTACTACTCACAGTGCTACATCATAGACAGGTAACATTACCCTACTTATTACTCACAGTGCTACATCATAGACAGGTAACATTGCCCTACATATTACTCACGGCGCTACATCATAGACAGGTAACATTGCCCTACATATTACTCACAAGGCTACATCATAGACAGGTAACATTACCCTACATATTACTAACGGGACTACATCATAGACAGATAACATTGCCCTACATATTACTCACGGCGCTACATCATAGACAGGTAACATTGCCCTTCATATTACTCACGGCGCTACATCATAGACAGGTAACATTACCCTACATATTACTCACGGCGCTACATCATAGACGGGTAACATTACCCTACATATTACTCACAGAGCTACATCATAGACAGGTAACATTACCCTACATATTACTCACAGTGCTACATCATAGACAGGTAACATTGCCCTACATATTACTCACAGTGCTACATCATAGACAGGTAACATTGCCCTACATATTACTCACAGTGCTACATCATAGACAGGTAACATTGCCCTACATATTACTCACAGTGCTACATCATAGACAGGTAACATTGCCCTACATATTACTCACAGTGCTACATCATAGACAGGTAACATTGCCCTACATATTACTCACAGTGCTACATCATAGACAGGTAACATTGCCCTACATATTACTCACAGTGCTACATCATAGACAGGTAACATTGCCCTACATATTACTCACAGTGCTACATCATAGACAGGTAACATTGCCCTACATATTACTCACAGTGCTACATCATAGACAGGTAACATTGCCCTACATATTACTCACAGTGCTACATCATAGACAGGTAACATTGCCCTACATATTACTCACAGTGCTACATCATAGACAGGTAACATTGCCCTACATATTACTCACAGTGCTACATCATAGACAGGTAACATTGCCCTACATATTACTCACAGTGCTACATCATAGACAGGTAACATTGCCCTACATATTACTCACAGTGCTACATCATAGACAGGTAACATTGCCCTACATATTACTCACAGTGCTACATCATAGACAGGTAACATTGCCCTACATATTACTCACAGTGCTACATCATAGACAGGTAACATTGCCCTACATATTACTCACAGTGCTACATCATAGACAGGTAACATTGCCCTACATATTACTCACAGTGCTACATCATAGACAGGTAACATTGCCCTACATATTACTCACAGTGCTACATCATAGACAGGTAACATTGCCCTACATATTACTCACAGTGCTACATCATAGACAGGTAACATTGCCCTACATATTACTCACAGTGCTACATCATAGACAGGTAACATTGCCCTACATATTACTCACAGTGCTACATCATAGACAGGTAACATTGCCCTACATATTACTCACAGTGCTACATCATAGACAGGTAACATTGCCCTACATATTACTCACAGTGCTACATCATAGACAGGTAACATTGCCCTACATATTACTCACAGTGCTACATCATAGACAGGTAACATTGCCCTACATATTACTCACAGTGCTACATCATAGACAGGTAACATTGCCCTACATATTACTCACAGTGCTACATCATAGACAGGTAACATTGCCCTACATATTACTCACAGTGCTACATCATAGACAGGTAACATTGCCCTACATATTACTCACAGTGCTACATCATAGACAGGTAACATTGCCCTACATATTACTCACAGTGCTACATCATAGACAGGTAACATTGCCCTACATATTACTCACAGTGCTACATCATAGACAGGTAACATTGCCCTACATATTACTCACAGTGCTACATCATAGACAGGTAACATTGCCCTACATATTACTCACAGTGCTACATCATAGACAGGTAACATTGCCCTACATATTACTCACAGTGCTACATCATAGACAGGTAACATTGCCCTACATATTACTCACAGTGCTACATCATAGACAGGTAACATTGCCCTACATATTACTCACAGTGCTACATCATAGACAGGTAACATTGCCCTACATATTACTCACAGTGCTACATCATAGACAGGTAACATTGCCCTACATATTACTCACAGTGCTACATCATAGACAGGTAACATTGCCCTACATATTACTCACAGTGCTACATCATAGACAGGTAACATTGCCCTACATATTACTCACAGTGCTACATCATAGACAGGTAACATTGCCCTACATATTACTCACAGTGCTACATCATAGACAGGTAACATTGCCCTACATATTACTCACAGTGCTACATCATAGACAGGTAACATTGCCCTACATATTACTCACAGTGCTACATCATAGACAGGTAACATTGCCCTACATATTACTCACAGTGCTACATCATAGACAGGTAACATTGCCCTACATATTACTCACAGTGCTACATCATAGACAGGTAACATTGCCCTACATATTACTCACAGTGCTACATCATAGACAGGTAACATTGCCCTACATATTACTCACAGTGCTACATCATAGACAGGTAACATTGCCCTACATATTACTCACAGTGCTACATCATAGACAGGTAACATTGCCCTACATATTACTCACAGTGCTACATCATAGACAGGTAACATTGCCCTACATATTACTCACAGTGCTACATCATAGACAGGTAACATTGCCCTACATATTACTCACAGTGCTACATCATAGACAGGTAACATTGCCCTACATATTACTCACAGTGCTACATCATAGACAGGTAACATTGCCCTACATATTACTCACAGTGCTACATCATAGACAGGTAACATTGCCCTACATATTACTCACAGTGCTACATCATAGACAGGTAACATTGCCCTACATATTACTCACAGTGCTACATCATAGACAGGTAACATTGCCCTACATATTACTCACAGTGCTACATCATAGACAGGTAACATTGCCCTACATATTACTCACAGTGCTACATCATAGACAGGTAACATTGCCCTACATATTACTCACAGTGCTACATCATAGACAGGTAACATTGCCCTACATATTACTCACAGTGCTACATCATAGACAGGTAACATTGCCCTACATATTACTCACAGTGCTACATCATAGACAGGTAACATTGCCCTACATATTACTCACAGTGCTACATCATAGACAGGTAACATTGCCCTACATATTACTCACAGTGCTACATCATAGACAGGTAACATTGCCCTACATATTACTCACAGTGCTACATCATAGACAGGTAACATTGCCCTACATATTACTCACAGTGCTACATCATAGACAGGTAACATTGCCCTACATATTACTCACAGTGCTACATCATAGACAGGTAACATTGCCCTACATATTACTCACAGTGCTACATCATAGACAGGTAACATTGCCCTACATATTACTCACAGTGCTACATCATAGACAGGTAACATTGCCCTACATATTACTCACAGTGCTACATCATAGACAGGTAACATTGCCCTACATATTACTCACAGTGCTACATCATAGACAGGTAACATTGCCCTACATATTACTCACAGTGCTACATCATAGACAGGTAACATTGCCCTACATATTACTCACAGTGCTACATCATAGACAGGTAACATTGCCCTACATATTACTCACAGTGCTACATCATAGACAGGTAACATTGCCCTACATATTACTCACAGTGCTACATCATAGACAGGTAACATTGCCCTACATATTACTCACAGTGCTACATCATAGACAGGTAACATTGCCCTACATATTACTCACAGTGCTACATCATAGACAGGTAACATTGCCCTACATATTACTCACAGTGCTACATCATAGACAGGTAACATTGCCCTACATATTACTCACAGTGCTACATCATAGACAGGTAACATTGCCCTACATATTACTCACAGTGCTACATCATAGACAGGTAACATTGCCCTACATATTACTCACAGTGCTACATCATAGACAGGTAACATTGCCCTACATATTACTCACAGTGCTACATCATAGACAGGTAACATTGCCCTACATATTACTCACAGTGCTACATCATAGACAGGTAACATTGCCCTACATATTACTCACAGTGCTACATCATAGACAGGTAACATTGCCCTACATATTACTCACAGTGCTACATCATAGACAGGTAACATTGCCCTACATATTACTCACAGTGCTACATCATAGACAGGTAACATTGCCCTACATATTACTCACAGTGCTACATCATAGACAGGTAACATTGCCCTACATATTACTCACAGTGCTACATCATAGACAGGTAACATTGCCCTACATATTACTCACAGTGCTACATCATAGACAGGTAACATTGCCCTACATATTACTCACAGTGCTACATCATAGACAGGTAACATTGCCCTACATATTACTCACAGTGCTACATCATAGACAGGTAACATTGCCCTACATATTACTCACAGTGCTACATCATAGACAGGTAACATTGCCCTACATATTACTCACAGTGCTACATCATAGACAGGTAACATTGCCCTACATATTACTCACAGTGCTACATCATAGACAGGTAACATTGCCCTACATATTACTCACAGTGCTACATCATAGACAGGTAACATTGCCCTACATATTACTCACAGTGCTACATCATAGACAGGTAACATTGCCCTACATATTACTCACAGTGCTACATCATAGACAGGTAACATTGCCCTACATATTACTCACAGTGCTACATCATAGACAGGTAACATTGCCCTACATATTACTCACAGTGCTACATCATAGACAGGTAACATTGCCCTACATATTACTCACAGTGCTACATCATAGACAGGTAACATTGCCCTACATATTACTCACAGTGCTACATCATAGACAGGTAACATTGCCCTACATATTACTCACAGTGCTACATCATAGACAGGTAACATTGCCCTACATATTACTCACAGTGCTACATCATAGACAGGTAACATTGCCCTACATATTACTCACAGTGCTACATCATAGACAGGTAACATTGCCCTACATATTACTCACAGTGCTACATCATAGACAGGTAACATTGCCCTACATATTACTCACAGTGCTACATCATAGACAGGTAACATTGCCCTACATATTACTCACAGTGCTACATCATAGACAGGTAACATTGCCCTACATATTACTCACAGTGCTACATCATAGACAGGTAACATTGCCCTACATATTACTCACAGTGCTACATCATAGACAGGTAACATTGCCCTACATATTACTCACAGTGCTACATCATAGACAGGTAACATTGCCCTACATATTACTCACAGTGCTACATCATAGACAGGTAACATTGCCCTACATATTACTCACAGTGCTACATCATAGACAGGTAACATTGCCCTACATATTACTCACAGTGCTACATCATAGACAGGTAACATTGCCCTACATATTACTCACAGTGCTACATCATAGACAGGTAACATTGCCCTACATATTACTCACAGTGCTACATCATAGACAGGTAACATTGCCCTACATATTACTCACAGTGCTACATCATAGACAGGTAACATTGCCCTACATATTACTCACAGTGCTACATCATAGACAGGTAACATTGCCCTACATATTACTCACAGTGCTACATCATAGACAGGTAACATTGCCCTACATATTACTCACAGTGCTACATCATAGACAGGTAACATTGCCCTACATATTACTCACAGTGCTACATCATAGACAGGTAACATTGCCCTACATATTACTCACAGTGCTACATCATAGACAGGTAACATTGCCCTACATATTACTCACAGTGCTACATCATAGACAGGTAACATTGCCCTACATATTACTCACAGTGCTACATCATAGACAGGTAACATTGCCCTACATATTACTCACAGTGCTACATCATAGACAGGTAACATTGCCCTACATATTACTCACAGTGCTACATCATAGACAGGTAACATTGCCCTACATATTACTCACAGTGCTACATCATAGACAGGTAACATTGCCCTACATATTACTCACAGTGCTACATCATAGACAGGTAACATTGCCCTACATATTACTCACAGTGCTACATCATAGACAGGTAACATTGCCCTACATATTACTCACAGTGCTACATCATAGACAGGTAACATTGCCCTACATATTACTCACAGTGCTACATCATAGACAGGTAACATTGCCCTACATATTACTCACAGTGCTACATCATAGACAGGTAACATTGCCCTACATATTACTCACAGTGCTACATCATAGACAGGTAACATTGCCCTACATATTACTCACAGTGCTACATCATAGACAGGTAACATTGCCCTACATATTACTCACAGTGCTACATCATAGACAGGTAACATTGCCCTACATATTACTCACAGTGCTACATCATAGACAGGTAACATTGCCCTACATATTACTCACAGTGCTACATCATAGACAGGTAACATTGCCCTACATATTACTCACAGTGCTACATCATAGACAGGTAACATTGCCCTACATATTACTCACAGTGCTACATCATAGACAGGTAACATTGCCCTACATATTACTCACAGTGCTACATCATAGACAGGTAACATTGCCCTACATATTACTCACAGTGCTACATCATAGACAGGTAACATTGCCCTACATATTACTCACAGTGCTACATCATAGACAGGTAACATTGCCCTACATATTACTCACAGTGCTACATCATAGACAGGTAACATTGCCCTACATATTACTCACAGTGCTACATCATAGACAGGTAACATTGCCCTACATATTACTCACAGTGCTACATCATAGACAGGTAACATTGCCCTACATATTACTCACAGTGCTACATCATAGACAGGTAACATTGCCCTACATATTACTCACAGTGCTACATCATAGACAGGTAACATTGCCCTACATATTACTCACAGTGCTACATCATAGACAGGTAACATTGCCCTACATATTACTCACAGTGCTACATCATAGACAGGTAACATTGCCCTACATATTACTCACAGTGCTACATCATAGACAGGTAACATTGCCCTACATATTACTCACAGTGCTACATCATAGACAGGTAACATTGCCCTACATATTACTCACAGTGCTACATCATAGACAGGTAACATTGCCCTACATATTACTCACAGTGCTACATCATAGACAGGTAACATTGCCCTACATATTACTCACAGTGCTACATCATAGACAGGTAACATTGCCCTACATATTACTCACAGTGCTACATCATAGACAGGTAACATTGCCCTACATATTACTCACAGTGCTACATCATAGACAGGTAACATTGCCCTACATATTACTCACAGTGCTACATCATAGACAGGTAACATTGCCCTACATATTACTCACAGTGCTACATCATAGACAGGTAACATTGCCCTACATATTACTCACAGTGCTACATCATAGACAGGTAACATTGCCCTACATATTACTCACAGTGCTACATCATAGACAGGTAACATTGCCCTACATATTACTCACAGTGCTACATCATAGACAGGTAACATTGCCCTACATATTACTCACAGTGCTACATCATAGACAGGTAACATTGCCCTACATATTACTCACAGTGCTACATCATAGACAGGTAACATTGCCCTACATATTACTCACAGTGCTACATCATAGACAGGTAACATTGCCCTACATATTACTCACAGTGCTACATCATAGACAGGTAACATTGCCCTACATATTACTCACAGTGCTACATCATAGACAGGTAACATTGCCCTACATATTACTCACAGTGCTACATCATAGACAGGTAACATTGCCCTACATATTACTCACAGTGCTACATCATAGACAGGTAACATTACCCTACATATTACTCACGGGGCTACATCATAGACAGGTAACATTACCCTACATATAACTCACAGTGCTACATCATCGACAGGTAACATTACTCTACATATTACTCACGGCGCTACATCATAGACAGGTAATATTACCCTACTTATTACTCACGGCGCTACATCATAGACAGGTAACATTACCCTACCTATTACTCACAGTGCTACATCATCGACAGGGAACATTACTCTACATATTACTCACGGCGCTACATCATAGACAGGTAATATTGCCCTACATATTACTCAAAGTGCTACATCATAGACAGGTAACCTTGCCCTACATATTTCTCACAGTGCTACATCATAGACAGGAAACATTACCCTACATATTACTCATGGCGCTACATCATAGACAGGTAATATTCCCCTACTTATTACTCACGGCGCTACATCATAGACAGGTAACATCGCCCTCCATATTACTCACAGTGCTACATCCTAGACAGGTAACATTGCCCTACATATTATGCACAGTGCTACATCATAGACAGGAAACATTACCCTACATATTACTCACAGTGCTACATCATAGACAGGTAACATTGCCCTACATATAACTTACGGCACTACATCTAAGTATCATTCCAAATCTACCTCTTTATGATTGAGATCTGGGGTAGCAGCCATTATGAGTACGATCCGACCATTCATAATTACCCTGATGTAAATTTGCATAGTCTGTGTGTAATGGAATGTACTAGATAAAGAGTTTGATTGGTGAGGTGTTATTTTTGCACTCGACAAAGAAATTGTGATTTGTTTATAAAAAGGCGGTAAAAAAGGCGGTAAACTGATGGCCCAAAAATAGAAATATTATATTATCTCAAGATTCAGACAATAAGTCAGTATTAATTGATATCAATATGTCACATTTAGACCATGATAAATTTACTGGTCATGTTGTTTTAACCGTTTCACCCCTAAATTTAAAGTCACAAATCAAAGGCAGAGCAAGACCAGCTGATATGAAACCAAACAATATTCTTCGCTTTGTTGATCAAAGTTTGTTTTGTAAAAACTGATGTAGATTCCTCACTGAAGTGTACCGTTGTTTTGTGTTATCATTGCAGATTGAAGATTCTCATCGTATTTTGAAGTTCCTGTGTTTACTAGAGGAGGAAGCTATGCTGGACATGTAAACACGAGACGTAGAGAACATATATCAACGTCAGATTAATCTATTTAATTTATTGATTTGTAATTCAATGAAATGTCATGAAATGATGCTTTCCTAAAACCTGTACATGCTGAGTGTTTACGTTTCAGATATAAGAGGATTATTTTGATTCTCACATTTATCACTAGAATGAAATAAAACTAGAGGAGTTGAGATGATATGTTTTGACGACAGTGTAAATTTTATATCTGAACAAATATTTAGACCACAATGGTACATGTAGGAAGTAAAGCATTTCCAAGTTGTGTGGATTATAGAATTCTGGTGACATATTGACCGTATGATATAGATTTTGTGCACCACTCCTACCTGTACAGTGAAGGACAACCTTTTATGACAGCACTAAGGCTAAGGGACATAACTAGGGTTCACATCAGTAAATCTTGAAAAGTAAGGGGTTGTGGTGGCCAAGTCGTTCAGGCGTCTGACCATCTACGATCACTAGCCCTCCATCACTGGGTCACAATTTTGAGGCCTACCTGGGACTGTCTCCAGGTACTGGCCGTTGGTCAGTGGTTTTCTCCGGGAACTCCGGCTTTCCTCCACCACCAAAGCCTGGCACGTCCTTAACTGACTCTAGCTGTTAATAAGGCACAAACCATACTAAACTTGAGGTTAGATTAAGTTGAGTTTTTGAAATCAGAATTGTCCAATTTTCTTGATCTTGTTTTGTTTGATGTTTTATGATGCTCCATGTAGACCATACTATTTTAATTGTGTCATATCATCCTTACTTATAATGATAGAATTATACTAATTTATCTGGGGTTGTATGTCAAAATAATCTCAACAGTACTACTTAACAACAGTGGTACACATACACGAAAGAAATGTTATTCTGACATGACAGCTCTACTTTCAATACATGGGATTTCGTTTATATACATTGTGGTCTTGATCATACTTGTTTTGGTTTAGTTATTTGTGATCTGACAGGATAAATGTTTAGCTCTTAATGGAAAATGCAAATGTCTCTAAATCTTTTCTGTTAGACAATCCAAAGTAAGAATTAGTCAAACAGTTGATCTCCAATATTAATTTGTTGCTTATTTTTCTAAAAACAATTTTAACATGATGTGTTGAAGCTTGTGTAGTCAGACTTTGATGTGGTATTATACCCTAGTACAACTGTATTCTGACACTGTTTGTATGTAATAAAGTTACTTAGAGATGGATGCTGTTAAACCTGCATGTTAAAATATGACATTTTTAAAATAGATTTCAACAAAATTGTTCATCAGTAGAAGTCACATATTTAGACAAAAAGCCTTAAAGGAATTTTCAGCTTTGATTGAGAAATTCAATTCATCAAGAAAAAAAAAAAATGTTGGAAACAGCTTAATTATTACAACTTTTCAAAATAGATTGTAATGTTTTGTGGACCAAACTTGTATGCAGTACATAACAGGACTATAGGACACTCTCACTGTGACCTAAGCTTGCTCAGTTGGTTTGAATGTCTTTCTAGAGTTCAGAGGTCCCAGCGTTGCATTTTTCTACTCCTATCAACATTATGTATTAGCAGTGACCAGGTTAGTTGGTTGGAGCGTCTATTTAGAGTTTATAGACTGGATACCCACTACCTGTGGTATATATACATGTATCCTAGTCAGGGTATACATTTTTTCCCACATCTTTGACTTTAACATGTTCTGTTTTTGTTATTTTTTGAGATTGTTGATGGAAGTGCTGTTAATCTGAGTGATAACATTTATTTATGATTCCAACATTACAATATATATACATTCGTGTTATAGACACCCAACATTAATATAGATATATGTCATTTAGGATATATATGTGTACGTTATCATGTCTTATCATAAAATGTGACAAATGTCTATTGATATCGGTGTAATTAGCTAAAACCTGAAAAGTTGGAAGTAAATTATAATCTTGTACAGTAGATAGAAGTGTATATAGAGATGTTGTGTCGTCATTTATAGAAGAGATTGTGCTAGTACCTGTATATCTATCCTCGCGAAGCAGGGGTTCTGCCCTTGGTTTATGTATATTATCTGCACCCTTGAATATGTCATGACAAAATAAAAGGCTTGTTATCCCAAATTTTGCAAATGACACACATAGACTAGGGGCCTGTTCGTTTATGCGGAACAACAGGTTTGTCTGTTTTTAAATTTAACATTTTCCGGAAAATGCAGGACTTGCAAGGCTTTGTCAAGGCTCACTTGAAAACAGCATCAGATTACTAGGTTCAACCTTATTTCACAAAAGAACAACTCTGGTCCAACTGGTCCGGATCCAGATAAACAAAAGCAGCCTAGTTTTTTTTGGAGATCAAGGAAATGTACGGCAGCGAAACAATAAAATCTAGAGGCTTTGAAGTTTGATTAAGCTCCTCTGTAATCTTCGAAGAACAGGTACAAGCCTAGTGATTGGGCAGGTTTTTAACTGGAAACCATTCAAATAGATTACTGTGAGCCTTAAATTTTGTCATGACATATTTCAGGGGTACAGAAAAGATGTTTGTATTGAGAGTTGATCCATTAGACTTTGAGGTTGCTATATACCATTACATTTACTAGATTAAATTGTGAATGACGGGATTCATGAGTTTCCATGTTGTACGGTTTGTGACGAAATTTGCACTTAGGTATTCCAGTTTTCATAAGGAAAATAGTTGCTTTCAAATAACATACATAATGTTTTACCATAAAGAGGCGACAACTCCTGTTGTAACAAAGTAGAAATTATATGCAAAAATAGTATCAACAGCATAGGGGCAAAATAGATGTGACAAGTCATATTAACAATTTATAGTACATAGGTGTGTCTGGCCCCTGTGTTAAAGGCACAGTACTATATATATAACTATTCAAACTGGTATGCTGAGAGGTCAAAGTTATTGTCAATTAACAGTGGCATGCTTAGAGGTCAAGGTCAAAAGTTTGTTGTTTCTCCAGGAGGTAGACTTTGTTTATTAGGGATTATCTGTCTATAGTTTACCTCTATTAACCAATTGATGTGTGGTGTTTGTTGGTCATCTAAGAGGCTAGTTCAGTGATTAGATAGTTTATACTGGAAGTGCTATGAATAGAAGGTGCAATCCTAGGTTGAGTGAGAATAAAGGCGTTTGAATGTTTAGTGGAACTTTTAACAAAATGTAAGAAAGTTATTTATTGTAAGTTGTTAATTACAGCATACTGACCATTATTGTACGTCATTAATGTTATCCAGATTCAGACTTTGAATTGCAACAGTTGGAATATTTGTCTGAAGTTCACCTAAAAGAAAAGATTCTAAGACATTTTTTAACAGGGGCTGTTGGCATTAGTCCAAAGTAGAGATTTGTGTTTAATGGACCAAATATTTGTCACTGAAGTGTAAACAGAATACTCAAAATGTTCAAATTTATTGTCATTAAACATTATCCTTCACAGGTCTAGATGTGTTATGTTTATGAATCCATACAATCTTTTGTTCACGTAAATAAGTTGTAAATTCATACCTTTCAATTGATAGTCAAACTGTTTTCCCTTAAAATTTTGGACCAACCTGGGAAGCAGTAAAAACTGTTTTCCCTTAAAAGTTTGGACCAACCTGGGAAGCTATATACCGGGCTTTAGTCTCTACACCTAGGGAAATAGTTTTGACTATTTACTGAAATAGTCAGAATGAAAAGTATAATATTATGTTCGTGCTTCTTATTTTGGTCTTTCCGACACTACTCTGTGATGATGGAGGGAGCTAGAGAGTGCGTTATATAGTCCTGTAGTGAGGATCAGAATAAAATGTCATAAAGGTCAAATTGATTTTATGTTTGTGATTTCTTACATATGTCCGACTTGTAACAAGTTGTTCCTTGAGAACAAGGTACAATTAGTTAAATTAAATAATAACAGTATTCTTTTTTTCTCAAAGAAAATATGCATTTCCTTTTTAGTTCACATGGTTTGCTATCTAGAATATAAATACTCGGTACATATATTCATAAAAGATCCCCCAACAAGTGTTTTTACTTTTAGTGCCTATCCGTGAATTGAAGATGGCTGCCCAATTTTGACTTCTTCTCAAGAATGGCCAAAGCGATTGACTCTGTACTTGGTACAAATGCTCCCTATGAGTTCCCAACAAGTTGCTCTTGCTTGTCGTATCAATCCGAAAATCCAAGATGTCCGCCCTGGCATCTGATGTCTAAGGCACTGTCGACTTCTCAACAACGACTGCACCAATCGACTTCCAATTGGTATCAATGTTCTTAACGAGATTCCCAATAAGGGTTGTCCCCAACAAGTGTCGTTTCATTTCGTGGCATTCCAAGATGGCCGCTCTGGCCTTCGATTGGGATATTTTCGATTTGTTCTCGGGTAAGCTTTAAGGCTCATTGGGCCTCTTGGGGTTTAACTTCTTAAAACTACTGTTAATGATCAACTCAGACCGTAGATATAATTGATATGATGGTGTTTTAACAAGATTTTGTGTCGAGTATTTTCAAACAAGTACTAATTGTAAGCCTCGTGCTTCGTATCATGTTACACTGGAGATGGATATGTCGGGAGTGGGTGATGCACATTAGTGAGCCTTTGTTTTTTGGACGTACCAATGAACAGCAGTGGTGCGACAAACTTCCATTGCAACAGGTACGAGTCTCGTTCGTTTCCGTGCTAGAGATGACAATCACGTAAAATGCTACGCGTTTTATTATCGAATATTATGTTATACTCCAGAGGAAAGCAATTGTAAGCATAGGTGTATAGTTTTCGGAGCTTTGTCTGTATAATTAGTTACAGAAAGTTCAGGTAAATGTGATATAATAAAACAGTTAAAAGTCGGAGTTAAACAGATTTATCTTTAGCTGGAATGTTTATGAAGCCCGGTACGCAATGCAAAATCTGGAATGCGAAATGCTAATTGTCAATTAACGACATGTGCCACACGTGTAAGACAGACTCAAGCTTGAGGCATAAGAATTTCGCATAATACTTTTGGGATTTCACAATTGGCATTACGCATTTGACAATTGAAATACCCAGCCTGAACACTAACAGACACATCATCGTTTTCTGTCAACAAAAGCTGAGTAAAGCTCGGAAATCGGATGTTATGACCAGAAATCGACATCAGAACAGCCGACTTCAGTACTAGTGATACGTCCATGCAATATTGCTGTTTTTTTATACATGTATTAGAGTAATTTTACACGTTTTAGGAGTTTAGATCAATGATGATCTTCTCATATACATATCATCATTAGGGGTGGGATTTTGACCGAAAGTCGACCGAAACCCCCTAAAACATGTAAAATAACTCTAAACACCTTAATTTAAGTCCAAATATAGCTGTAACAAATTATTATGTCCCTGTGGTACATAGCCGTCAATGTGTAGTATATGTGATTAAAAGTACGATACGGTATCGACTAAACCTTGTCTGGTAATTGAGATGATCTGTCGTAACAAGTTATGGCTGAAATAAACAGCAGCTGTCAATAACGACAACAAGACAAGTGTAGTTATTCAAACATTTATCAAAATGTACACAGAAATATACATCCTACATGTAAATCAACCATTATTTCAATTACACGTATAAGATAAGGTGCAACAATTGCCAAGGTAGACGATTTTAATTCAAGGTCAGATCATTACAGACGGAGTATGATGACGTTTGTTTTCAACAATAATACTTAAATAACGGTAAAACTTTATTATTCAGATTTTTGTTAGAAAAAAACCCCAACCAAAGTGTGCAGATAAACGCTGGTCATGAATCAACTATCTCAGCAGAGCAAATGTAAGATGGAGGGGGAGGAGGGGGTCAGACATTATAGTAGGTTTATTTAATCTCCAAAAAAATTAAACATGTAACAACCACTATTCATGATGCTCTACAAAAATGCCCAAATTATTGAAACCTCTATAAGAATAATCGGAGATTCTAGTTCTTGGTCACGTCATATATAACAACACTGCCACGGAAAGATTCTATTTCCCTCTGTCCCCAGCTTCGGGAAATATAATTATTCTTTCATGTTGATAAAACATTGTGTTGACCTCATAGGAAGCTAATACTTGCTTTATCATATGACACACTTTGTCTGAGCCAAGAATGTTGTACGGACGTTTCTATTTGACGAAGAAATTCAGATGACTCTATTTTCAAATGACTGTCACAATCTTCATACATTATACGTTATAACCTGTACTGCTTGCTTTGAGAAGAAAAGCCCCCCCCCCCCCCCCAAAAAAAAAATATATATAAATAAGTTATCTACAAAAAAAGTATGCTATTTGAATCCAAGGGGAAATCCCCATTGTGTTATTCATGCTGGTATAATGCTTTGTTTATCAACATCCGGGTATCCTAAGGTCGACACAAATATAAAAGGGTGAACAATGCGGGTTTCAACCAATCAGACTGCAGAAAATTTACAATGATACAGTTAAAAAAAATACAAAAAACAAACTAAACATTTATACTAACATCTACATCGGTAGATCCATTTTATATGATGTATCCATACGTTACTTAATTTCCCCTTTAGATGTAATTTACATCTCCAAACGAATTTAATTAACCCTGTTGCGAAGAAGCGCACGTACACGGATTGTAGTCAGTGGCGCTAAAAATCCCTAACAATACAGATATTATAACACTAGACCTTGTTATATGTTTTATTGATAAAACTACAACCAGAACTGAAACATACTATTTAATCAAGAGACACGACGACGTTAACACAGAAACAAGTTTTAAAATAAAACACATAATAAAATGGATGGATTCAATGTTTCCAAAATTACGAAGGTGTTTTTATTACATTTCAGAGGCGTGCTTATTTACACATTCGACCGAAATAAATCACTTAAAACATACATTCTAATTATAACAAGCAATCCAATTCCTGAAAAAATATCATATTAATTAAATAAACATTAAAAATGTACAATCTTGTGACGCTGTAGTGGTGTCTGTATCAGACGGTCATTAGGTAACGTTAACGTTAATTTCCGGTTTGAAACCAACTTCCTGGAATGCAGCAGTACATATCACGTGCTTCAAAATTAATGACTATGTGTTCCGTGCACGTGACGGAAGCATTTTGTCAGCCATATTCAGTGTCTCTGCAAATGGACAGTAGCACTCTAATATAAATTTTGCACAATTTGTTTCATCGCTGATTTCCTAACATCGTCCATTACGTCATAAGTTCATGACGTAAGGCGTTTTCCTCCCGGTTTACAAAAAGTCAGGCGTAGCATTACGACCAGCCTTAATCACTTTCTGTCTGTGATATTACAAATGTTCGTCCTATTCGAAATATGGACGTCATTTTGTGGTATGCACATTAATTGGGCAAAACACACTTGTGCGCACGTCGTGTCGTTGACATCCAAGGTGTCCCACGTGGTCAAATGTTCAGGCTCGCACACAATCTTCTTTTTAAATCTTCAGTACATGGCCTGGTCTAGATCTGGTCACTTTCGATTTTGTAAAGGTGTAGGTACTATTGATAATCAATTTTAACTTGTAATGCCACAGGACACTACGTCAGGTGACAGTACAAGTTACTATGGTGACAGACCACCGATCTCCCTCGACGAACGTTCGTCCTCAGTTCTTTCTAATGATAACGTCATAACACGTTTGATGAAAATATTTCAAATGGATAAAAAAACAATCTCGTTAGGTATATAAAAAAACCTTGTTGTCAATGCAACACTTTTCATTTACAAACTGTCACCCATTCGTTATACGAGCATGTTTTGCACACGACGTAACAACACCAGTGAAATTTGCAGTCGCATCTCTCCGACCGTTTGACACGGAGGGTATTATAGCCACGCCCACAACACAGTGTCTGACAGTTATTCACCCCTGTACTGGTTTTATTACACAGCCGACCGGAAGTTCCAATTGAGTCCACACGCGGATTGACGTCACAATAATTGGGGGACCTCTCGTAGAATATAAGCTCTGACTTTCGAGTGTTTCTGCGTATTCGACGATATCTCGCTGCGGCCGCATTTAGTATATTTACCTGAAAATATAGGAAATGTATCAATCATATGACCGTCTCCAATAAAGTTGGGTTCAATGATAACGTATCAGTTATGAAGTTTAAACAAGAAATGAAATAGAACTTGTTTTTTTAGACAATTAATCAGTAGTCGAGATATTATACTTGAACAAGATTTGTTTTAGAAAAAAAGACAAATTGATATAAAGATGAAGCCACACACAGTATACAGGTATACAAACTGGAGATGCCTGAATTGTTCTATAAGCAGGAGTTATTTCCCCTAGACCGGTAATAGGTTTGGAACAGAGAGTTAGTGTCCATGCATAGGCATACTCCGAACGCCCCGCCCCCAAAGGAAATGAGGAGAAGATAGAATAATATCATCCTCTTTACCTTTACCTTTCTCGCGGCCTCATACTTTTTCTTCAGTCGGATCCCAACTTCCCGGAAGTCTGGCGTAGATTTCCAGCATGTCTGAATCTCACAACTTCCTGACATGCCATGGCATTTGCACTTCCGGCGGACGTTTCTTATAACAGACTGAAACATTGGAGTTAAATTAGACGTCATTAGTGTTTTACTAAGTGTGTACATCTTTACGTAAAGACAAGGTCACGTCGATTGTACGTTAACAAGGTAACACCAACAGAAAACCGCCTTCTGACATCAGCATGACGTCACAAAATCACGTCAACGGCAGGTATACAGGGTCACACTAACAGGTATACAGGGTCACACTAACAAGAAATGACCAGGACATATTATCAGTAATATATCTGAAATATTCCAAGGGTTAAGAGAACTCGAGTGAGAGTAACCAATGCAATTCTGAGGATATCACAGGCTGAATACACTTGTAGATACAGAACCATCACAGTAAGACATATACATGTACCTCGGTTTACCAAACATATCGATAACAAATTTCATTTTATTGCTTTCACAAGCATAATCTAGTAGTATAAATTGGTGCCCGCCATTGTATGTCATGGTATACACATTTTGTCGAGTCAATTCATGGTCATACTTTCGCCAGGTATAACAAAACAACACAACTTTTGTTATTCCTTTTACAGCTTATAACATGTTCGCTAGTATTATATCTGAATCATAATATCAAAACTTCATAATCACAAATTAAGAAGTGATTTTCAGTCGTCAGGAAAGGGCCACAGCTGTGTTTTTCGAAAAAATAGTTATGCTCAATCCTGACCAACTCTTAAGCCCCGATTTCTATATACTATAGCTGTAGAGTCATCTATATACCCTGGCTCTAGAGTAACATTTATCCCATACCTGTTGAATCTTGTTATAGTAATACAAGCAATTTTCAGACCATGAAATACAGGTGCAATACGGAATGTTGTATTTACCTACTAGCCGGAACTACTTTTTATGGGAATCCCCTTGTCATGGCGAACTGAAAAGTCACCGGTATTTGCAAAAAATATCAAAGTTTACAAAATATTTGTATCTATCTCTACCAAAAACGGAAGGTATGTGAAAAGCAAGACCACACACTTGTGTTTTTTCTAACGAATCAGAAAGCACTCATTTATTGCGCGGACGTATATATTAACTCGTGCGCTCCGCACACTCGTGAATATATTCGTCCGCGCAATACAAACACAAGTGTGTGGTCTTGCATATATATACCCTGGTTGTAGAGTAATCCATATACCCTGGCGGTAGAGGAATCTATATATCCTGGCTGTAGAGTAATCTATATACCCTGGCTGTAGAGTAACCTATATACCCTGGTTGTAGAGTAATCTATATACCCTGGTTGTAGAGTAATATATATACCCTGGCGGTAGAGTAATCTATATACACTGGCTGTAGAGTAATCTATATACACTGGCGGTAGAGTAATCTATATACACTGGCTGTAGAGAAGTCTATATACACTGGCGGTAGAGTAATCTATATACACTGGCTGTAGAGTAATCTATATACACTGCCGTTAGAGTAATCTATATACACTGGCCGTAGAGTAATCTATATACACTGGCGGTAGAGTAATCTATATACACTGGCGGTAGAGTAATCTATATACCCTGGCTGTAGAGTAATCTATATACTCTGGCTGAAGAGTAATCTTTATACACTGGCGGTAGAGTAATCTATATACACTGACTGTAGAGTAACCTATATACATTGGCGGTAGAGTAATCTATATACACTGGCTGAATTCATGTAGAGTAATCTATATACACTGGCTGTAGAGTAATCTATATACACTGGCTGTAGAGTAATCTATATTCACTGACTGTAGAGTAATCTATATACCCTGGCTGTAGAGTAATCTATATACCCTGGCTGTAGAGTAATCTATATTCACTGACTGTAGAGTCATCTATATACCCTGGCTGTAGAGTAAACTATATACTCTAGCTGTAGAGTAATCTATATACACTGGCTGTAGAGTAATCTATATACCCTGGTTGTAGAGTAATCTATATACCCTGGCTGTAGAGTAATCTATATACACTGGCTGTAGAGCAATCTATATACCCTGGCTGTAGAGTAATCTATATACCCTGGCTGTAGAGAAATCTATATACCCCGGCTGTAGAGTAATCTATATACCCTGGCTGTAGAGTAAACTATATACTCTAGCTGTAGAGTACTTTCATATAATCCTGGTGTTAGTTTACTTTCGTGATTTAACCATTAAATGCAGACCTTCTCAGGCGATAAGGTTTTATTTACTTTTTGTACTGCGTTAGGAATAATCTTTGAACTGATCAAAGTATGGATATATTATGTGTCTACAACGTTCCTCGGATTGTGTAACAGATAATGACTGCAATTGTAGCTTAAAACCTTGAGAAGGTCTATGTTCTTTGATGCCAAATAACAACCGAGAGCATACGTACACTTCGGACAGGAGACCCTCGTAAAATGCAGAATCAAAGAGCGACAAACGAGATTGAGGTAGAGTGATTGGGACTCGGGTTACACCGGAGTATTCTGCGCAGACTACGTTGGCCGTTTTCTTGCGGAACCGTTTATACAAGGGTCTCAAAGGTTCCAAATATCAAGTTTTGATAAGTAAACCATCGGGGTAATTACAACATTAAAACGGCACATTACACTCTCCGAACCAATGCCGTGACTTGTGATCCGGATGGTTCGAGGCAATTTATCGATGTTAACATCACATTTTTGACCGCCAGCATATTTGAGGAAAAAGCAGATTCGGAATGTCAAACTATATATATTTTAAGGAACTATAACTTCAAAATCTTAAATCTTCGAGACCAGGGTCCGGTTCGTGCAAACTTCCATGGATATGTCTGATTTTATCTAACGTGCTTTCTTCCTGACTGCTTATTGTTGTCGTTGTCGTTCATGAAGGATGAGAATAGTTTCCTCATCTGATGAGAGCGTAAAGATATCACATTACTGCCGTCATACTCTGATACATATATCACGGGACACGTACCTTTATATGTATCACCGTTATTTCTTTACCAGGAGAGCTTATCATCAATTAAAGTCGCAACAATGAGTTTTCCGGATATTTAATTATTAACATGAATCAAAGCTGTTTGTCTCCAGGTGCACATGAAAGATCATAGGTCAGGGTATAATTCTGGTTATGTATGCGGTTATAACTTAAATATAGCTCCAATACGCATAAACTTGTAGAACTTGTTATCATGTTTCGAACCCCTACTTTACGGACTTTGGTGGGAACCATACTGACGTCACACCTACCGTCGTTGGCGGTGTTACATACTATAACGTGAAGTAATTTTTGTAGATGTGAAGATCTACATTGATACTTGAGCGAATGATAATCGTCTGAAACTTGGAAGGTACGCGGCTATAAACAAACGATAAATCACGAATGTCGGTAGCCAGCGATATAGTATAGTAAGGCTAATACACAACTGCAATTCTTTCATGTAACATATCGTGTATGGTTTCGTGTGTAGACTATACGATACGACAAACAGAGCGGCTTCTTCATGAAGGAGAAAACAGAAATATCAGAAAGGAAGAAGATTGAAAGAACACTTTCATTCACAGCAGGAGTTGCCGTGTCTGTGGTCGCCATGTTTGTTGTAGATTTCCGGCGCGTGGCCGTGCTATCACCATAGATACCGCGCGTGCCAGGCAGGCGATTTATTGGCCGTATAATTGGCTCAATTTTCTGCAACAGTCTGCTTCTCCAACCTCTTGAGTTTTCATTGATGAAGAGGCTAAGAGAAACTTTAAACACATTCCGCATGTTCCTCTAACGACCGTTCTGGAAACCGCCAAGCTTTAGGTCTGATGGAAGTTCACGTATAACCCACGTAGACAATGTGGTCCTTAGCTTATGTAGTCATTAAATGTAAATTGAGGTTTGATTTCAAACTTTACGATTCTGCTGTTGTTGTATTTTTAGTCTACAGCAATCTGAAAATTTCTAACATCCCGCCAGCAACAGTTGATCAAAATAATGCCTCTTGAGATTCTTATGTCGTTTCCACTTGGTTATCATTTAGCCACGACTGATGTCTTTCTTACATTAATGACTAACCAGGTACTTGTGGTATAATTTGTGGTGCCGTTGAATGTTGTATATTCCTGTTTACAAAGTAGACCCATCTAAACAATCTAGCCGCGGATACATGTAGTATATTGGCCCTTTGTCTGGTTCAGTGTCTTCCTATCTTTTCTAACAGCCATTTTGATAAAACCATGCACGTGGAGAAATGTGGTGTCAGGTAGCTTTTTGCACTTTTAAATCTTTTATGAACAAAATAATGTTTCTATATTCAAAAATCCCGATTCAAATTAACAGATACAGTCACATCCTGTTGAATAAGTAAATGTTGTATATTATGATATATACTTACCAAGCGGCCCGCTCTGTTGTTGTGGAAGTGTTGTATATTATGATATATCCTTACCAAGCGGCCCGCTCTGTTGGTGTGTAAGTGTTGTATCTTATGATATATACTTACCAAGTGTCCCGCTCTGTTGTTGTGTAAATGTTGTATATTATGATATATACTTACCAAGCGACCCGCTCTGTTGTTGTGTAAGTTTATTTTTGCGTGGATGTCTTTAGCTCTCTCCTTCACATCTAAAAATTTGGCGGAGAATTTTTCTCCGAATTCGACGTTGTGACTACACCCGCCCCACTCCCACTTGTCCTTGACCTTGCCGTGCTGACTCATGTCACACCCACAGGACTGCAGCTTCCCCATGCTACATGCCTTAGCCACCTGGTGTGTCACCCCCGCTGCCAGAATTGCATAAGCGAAGGCCGACTCTCGGAAACCTGTAAAGTGACAAAGGTTCAATATTAATTATAATTTCTAAAGTTATGAAAAAGGACATTGGTAATTTCACGTGACGAAACCGTAGAGGGATACGTTGGACGTTCAGTCAAGACGGCTCACTTCCTGAAATTGAATGTCAACTTTTGTTTGACATAACCGTTATAGTAACTGACTGCAAAAGTAACATACTTTTTACACTTCTTAAAATTGATTAGTTTGAATATGTCTGAAAGAATGACGCATGAAAACTCAAATTGGCAAAAATGGAGAACACACAAAGACATGAATTGGTCCAATACGGAGGAATCATAAAGCCTTCAATGTACCCCAAACGGGGCGCATACATTCCTCAATGTTCAATATACAGAAACAAAAGATTCCAGACGGGCCTTCATTAGTCGCTTTTTACAGGTACTGAGTTGCAACTAATGCATTTCTCCAAGCTTGAACGGATATTGATAGATAAATAAACTAAACACTTTGCTAACATCATTTCATTTTTTTCTGGTAAAATGACAAGAAGTGACAGGAATCAATTTCCTTTAAAAAATAACACATAAAATAAACATTTCGAGCCTAAAACGTTTACGTACAAAAATGTATTTCAAAAATAATGAAAAAGCTTTCACAACAATTTTTGCCACAAAGCTGAAAAAAGGTCGGATTTTGTGTACTGGTAAAGTACACGAAATCTCTAGGTGTATCGAATATGATTTATTTCATATACTGAAATCCTAAAATAGCGTAGCGCTCTATTACTCTACACAACGACCTAACCGGGCATACTAACTTCCTATAAGTTAATTTATGGGAAATGATAAAGAGATAGCATTAATACATTTTATCCACTAACACAATTTAATACATGTCCGATTCTACATAAGGTATCCGTGACGTGTTGGTTATGTATGAAGCATACCGTTATAGCCGTGGGAGTCTTGTCTGTAAGGCGGTTAAGGTATACGCTGTTGTGTTCAACATCTGTTTGGTGACATAATTCCAAACTTACGGCAGCAGTCATTGTATCAGAGGCACGGCCTTTGATATTTGCAGGTGCAAATGACGCAATGTGCACATTTTTTCCTTGCATATTTTACATAGCGTAGATTTAGGAATTGAAATGTATTTCTCCATCAAACGTCATACCAAAGGTATGAATGTATATGCATTTAAAAACCTGTCTTAACTATAACCTCCATAATTCGATGATAAATGAGTTTATTTTTAATGAAATTACATTCTGGACATGATTGATATACTCAAGAACAATTTAACACTAGATACATATAATGATAAAATCAACGGTTTTGGATCACAGCTCCGCACCACACTGACTTAAAGACCTCTGATTGGTTGACAAGTTCAATGTTTCCCGATTATAACCTCAATCATCTTTCCCTTAGACAATATCGCCTGGAATCTCGTGGAGATCGCAAAGGGTCATGGATCAAAATTACAAGTAGCACGTATCTGTGGTTGTGTATTGTCCGGTGTGCAGGTAGATAGATAGCCCACTAGCATATATAGATACCCATCATTATATCGAGTCCCTACCTCGTAACTCATAGCCACTCTTCAATATCTCGACCGACTCAAAGAAATCCCAATTTATCGGAAATTAGCAGGAATTATGGTAGGCTTATCAAAGGAAATAGTTTCCACGTTCTATGTCCCATTTATAATAGTTTTATAAGTTGGCTCTATTTTAGTATTTTGTATACATAGTCTCATTGTTACCTATCACGTATTTACCTTAAATACTTATCAGGTTTTTTTCTGCTGTTTTTAAAATTGAATACAATTTTCATTCATAAGAATTTCATCAAGGGGCCTTGGTACTGTATTCATTTGAAGTGGCACCACAGACGTAAAGACATATTACCTTTACAAGGTATAAAGGAATGGGTGAACGATCTTGTTCGGGTTATGTAACGGACAACAGTCTCGTATCTAATTTCTTTACACTTCTGTTCAGATTTTGCATTTTGACTATATAAACATTAAAAGAAAACCGATGTTAACATGTAATCAGTAGACCGACTTATATACCTTAGTCCAAATTGCTTGACTTTTTCACTTAAATATAGAAAAGATTTAAACATGTTTTCTTATACATTTGTGTATTCAATTTGACTGATTTGTACTTATTTTATGTGAAATATTTTCGAAATGCTGTTGTCTGAACCAAACAAGGAATTCGTGGAAACCTTATAGAGAATACTCCATATTTGTAACTGTTTTTATACAAAACGAAATAGATTATGTGATTCTTAATAAAAGCTAAAACACAAACTACTTTTTCAAACGATTGACATATATACATATTATGTTATTTGCTGATGGTTAACAATGACAATATCTTATCTAATGGAACAAGTTGGACAGTCTACCGTAGTCTGCTATCATTTGGCCATATTTCCGTGTTTTGTTGATGTCTTCCGGCAGTTTTGCTCGACTAAAATGTGCAGAAAGAACCCTGGTGAAAAGCCTTCCTTAACATTCATTGTCTATATGTATGAAATAATAAATACCTGGTATTGTTTTCAGTACTGGATATCTTTCATAAAAAAGGGCGAGTAATCTGATATTGATTACACGTGTAAATTACTAATGAACAGGTTGAAAGGTATTCATCCCTACAGTTAAAATGTAACCGATATTCTTAATAAATACCAAACATTATGTTAATACGTTTATAACTTGATGGTACTGTTACGATATGAAAAATACAAGAAGGGAAATAACAGTAACTAAAACATCATCATCAAACCTTACACTTTATACGTCAAATGTGCTTCAGTTAGTTCTGTTCTATAGAGGATGTGAAAAGTGATGGGCAATTCTTCCTCTTGAAAGTGATGGTAAGTACATTATAGTACGTGTTGTAAGAAATATAAAAGGAAAATACTGACAAAAGAAAGTCCTTTTGTATATTTACGCAATCCAAGGTTAATTTGTACTAGAAAATTGATTTAGAATCAAAGTATTGGCTAAAGCGATATACCAATATACTTGGTCTAGCGATATCCAAAAACCTTATCCTTTAACCGTTTTATCATATGGATACAAAAACCCATTGTATTTTTTTTTCGAAAAAAACCGCATATACTTAGTCGCAATCGTCGAAAACCTTTTGGAAACCATATATTTTATATCCGCGAGGAAGGAAGCACTTGATATTGTCTAGGGAGTTAGTACGTAATCACAGAAATGTCCCAGGGGGTTAATCTGCAGAGGAAGTTTAGTTCTTGGGTAGTGAAATAATTCCATGTCCAGAAACGTCAGAGCAAATGCAGGTACATTATCAATTCAACGAGTAATCTTATTCGATTAACAATTTGTTTCGGTGACATAAATAATAATTAAACAAACTCATTTGAAAAAAGCCCATCTTAAATGATGTGAAAAGATATCTATACTTTGAAATTAGCAATTTCTAGAATACAAATAAAGGGAGTACCTGTCTAAAAATTAGGTTGTTGATGAATGTTAAGCCAAATAAAGTTAGCATTTTACTGCACAACACGGACTCTCCAGAAGTACCAACATTCTATTAAAAAAATACAACAACAACAACAACAACAACAACAACAAACAACAACAACAGATCACGTACAAACGATACAATCTTTATTACTATATCTAACCCCCACCAATCCAATGTTTACAAAACCCCTACCAGTACTAGGAAAACCTCACCATCAACCGTATCTCAACACAGCCACCAAAAATCTACTCCCCCTACTGCTTGTGCAGTTGTGTAGGAGTGTTTACCTGTTAATATTGATGCCTTAGTGTAGTCTTTTTGACACTTTTGAAACCATCTGCCATCGATTTTAAACAACTAATTGGGTTCAAACGCATAAAAGCTTTCTAAATGCGGGACTTACTTCACTGTTACGCCCAGACCAAACCGGAGCGTATTAATGACTAGCAGATTTTAGTGTTTTCTGATTGTTCACCAGACGGTATCGAATTAAGCATTTAACGGCAATTAACAGTTCTTAACATCGCATTTGGTAGCGACATGTTTAAGGCTGAGAAATATTAGCTCACATCAGAGAGATAGGGTAGCCACATGGCCAGCGTGCATTACGTCTGAGGTCAACAACAAATTTAACGCGTTAGCATATGTGTATTTATGTATTGATCTATGGTTTTGCTTCTAGTCACGGTGACGTGGTTTATCATATTTACATCTTACAAATAAACAACGTTAATCAAGATTTTGTTTATCTGGAAACAACCTGTTCTTGAGAAGTTATTGACTGATCTATACAATCTGATAAATCATGTTTTTATAAACATGGAAAAAATGTTTTTCAATCCATTTTAAACGTTTATAAAAACAAAGTTCATCGTTTAGTTGCTGACCTTAATTGTTTTAAAATGCTAAATGCAGTATAATTCTCTGTTCCTGTACTATAAATCAGCGATTTCAACACGAGAGTATATATTAAAGTTCACTTCATACCAAACAACCTCGAATCCAAAAATTCAACACTATCATTAAAAAGTCGATGTAGAGAATGTTACTTGATCAGAAAATGTTAGTCTGATAGAGTTTCACGCTCTCTGCCGCTCGATACACTGATCCATTACAAACATTGAACCCACTCTACTTACTTTCAGTCAACCAATATCGTTTTATTATTTTCATTGAATGGAATCTCTAATTAATGTTTGTTTTATATAAAGTAAAGAAAATTATCATCGGTAAATAGCTACAGCCTCGATAGACGCCCAGAGAACGATGACGTCACAGGCTGACAGCTTGTATCAAACACGTTTGATTTTATCAAATGAAATATGAAAACTGTATTGACATTCCAATCTGTATACTTACGAGCATGCATTAAAGGGAAATACAATACGCATTGTGCTAGCACTTTCAAATACCAATTCGATAGGACAGATAACAGATTTTATTTTAGTTAACGAACGTATTGTCTGTGAAATGTTGATCTGACTGACAGAGTATTTGCCCTTATGGCCACTTATTAATACCTGATGACAGTGTAATGGGCTCGGAATGTAGGGGTCATCCTATCGGGGGCAGTGCAATACATTTCTCTACGTTTCACACTTTTCTTTTTTCTATGCAAATGTTTATAGAAGTGGTCACAATGACAATTTGTTAAAATATCAAAAACATTTTTCTCATTCTATATCTCACATCCAAGCTCGTTGGAGGGTTGTTATCGAACCTCCAATATTTGTTCAATGTCAAAGGACATTCTGTGTTGGGTTATTTAAGCTCGGTCCATTAGATACACAAGTGATTCGCACTCTACAACGTACATGTTTAGCACGTTCGCGCTAACTTTAACGTGCTCGACGGTCTAACGCTATGTTAGCTTCAGCTCACAATTAAATAAAAACTTTTCTTTTCTTTCCCTTTTTACTTTTGTGAGAAAAATATGATGTGCATGTAAAGAGAAAGTACGAAATTGGAAAGACGAGAACTTCCTTAAATAAAACGAAATGATTGTTTCCGTTATTATATTGAAAACCAAACATTCATAAGGTTGTCCCGAACTGCATACCTATCGCAATGCTGCTGTTGACTATACAACAGTACACTACCCTCGATAACAGGGCGTTTGATACTATTTAAATATTGTATTCAGTTAGCTAGCTGATGTTAAGGATACAAACACAATGTATTCAGATAATTGACAATTTAGGCAAATGAGATTTTTATACATTATGAGTTCCTCTCGTAAAATGTGGGCGCTGAATGGCTTTGACCCAGTGTTTATTTTTCAGTCTCAATTGAAGATATCAACAGGGTATTTCTATTTACTAAATGATCAATGTGGAATTCTTTATCCCTCCTAGATACTTGTGGTTTACCAATTAATTGACTGTATGTTGTATTACCTGTATAGTTGTAAGATCAAAGGATACCGCTGTACAGGTGTGACAGCTAGCGCTTTTATATTTTGATAAACATTGGGATAATGATTAGCAATGCGTGGTTGATACGTTGCCGTCATTCAGAACACTGTATAACACAATAGCCACTAGATCCTCACACCGACGTTCGGCGAACATGGAGAATAGGTGAGGGGCCCTGTAAATCCGCAGGCATCACCCCCGTACAAAATAAACCTTTATAACATTTCAGTTTTATGGCTTTTATTTATCTTTATTCACTTTAAATCCTAATTGTACTTCGACTGTAAACAGACACATAAAACTATTCATCTGTGATCCCATTAACCAGATCTGTTTATATTACTGGGACATGGTCAAGCCGTACGAGGCACTGTAGCATGTCTTTGATTTCGTACAAAATCTCTGAATCAGACATGAGGCTGATACCTGTTGAAATTTCGTCATACCCTATTTTTACCATATACTTCTTAAATACGCAATTTACCGTTTATTTTTGAAATATACATTTCAAAACTGTGAACCAACCGAGCGCGTAAATTCTCGGACAATTACACTAGTCTAGACAAACACCCCTGTAGGCCCCTTATACCCTAGTTAAGATAAGGGTTGTTACCAAATAATGGCATATTGTCATACCTTCGGAATGTTTTCGGTCGGCACTTTCAGATTTAAACATTTGAAATTATATGGTAGTACGGTGTTGATTTCTCATCTGTTTAACACAATCCAGTTTAAGGTATAAGTTTCCGAATGAAGCCGTCAGTAGTGTGAATTGACCGTTTATTTAGTACAGTCGCTAAACGATAAACGCTAACGCTAAAAAATTATATCACAAACTGGCCTGTACGGGTAGCAACAGACATGGAGCCGAATTTACACTGTACCTGTTTAGATAAAACTGTATTGAAGATTATAGTTGATTTTACAACTTCCCGATTATTCACGCAAAACTAAATAAGATAACCGATCATTGTCCATGACATTATCCCGTGACTTATCTATTGCTGATATATAAACCGAAACTAACCGTCGACAAGAGATATGCAAGGGTTTGGAGTTAGTGAGACTTAAAACATGCATTGGTGCTTTTCACGACGTACTCTCTGGTTGGTGAAATCTAATATAAAATTTAACAAGTCAATTATATATCGTATTTGATACATTGTTAACGAACAATTGACAAGGTCAAACTGGCTTGATAAGTAGAAAATGGATGCAGAATAAAAAACAAATGAAAAGATTAGGTAAGTACCTAGCTTCTAAAAATAACCTTTTCACGAAGGAATCCAAACAAAGCTGGTTCTGCGACTTTGAAGTGAGATACAAGGTGTCATATATGCAGTAGAGAATGATTATAAATGAATGAAATAATTACCTTTTCCAAGAATAGGGCTCGCATGAGGATTCTTATTTTTCTTCTCCAGTGTGGAGCAATTCCACCGATGGTCTTTTAGCTGATGCTGGCATTCGTGGATAGCCACCTGTATGCCCTGAATGGCTGAAGCTGTAACATCCGGGTGTTGGAAACAATGTTCATACTGATGGGACGTCAACGCCGGATACGTTTTACAGACTGTGTTAGGGTCGAGGTTAGGTTCTGGGGGTAAATTTAACCGTAGAATGTCGTTGCTCATGCCCCTGTGAAAAGAGAACGAAAACAATGGACTCTGGTGCAGGATGAAATTGAAATTGGACCAAAGTGAAACCTATCACAGGAATATAAACAACCAATATTGGACGAATCAACAATTTGACGAAACATAAGATGTAAGATTCCAAGAAATTATCAAAATCCTGCGAAAACATTTGAATCGTCACGTGTATTAAAGGGCATACAATTCTGCAGAGACCAGGTATCTCGATCGGATAGAACGATTGTATAACAATCTGTAGTCCAGGGTTCGAGTCCAAGTCTAACCCAAATGATGTTTTTATACTGTTGTTGAATACATTTTGCTCAAGTAGCTTAATAAAAATCTTTTTGTTTTTTCATAAAGTCCCACAAGGCATGGCTTTGTTTACAGAAAATATTAATCAAAGGAATAGCCATGCCGCAAAAACAATTTCGATCAAAAAATTTCATAAAAATTGACTTAAGTAAGTTATTGACATCCCGCGAGATAGAAATATCCATGTAAATTTACGAGGATTGTAAACAACAGTTGACAATAAGCTGCATCCTCAGGACGAAGAGGAAGATGCTAATATTCACGACAAATAGCAGATGACCCGAAGTCAACCCTAAAGTTTTGTGTTAGATATATGTTAGATATATGTGAAATGAATATAAAGGGAATGGAGATCCAGTATCTTGAAACTAGAGTTCGACATGATAGATAGCCAGATAAACCAAGGTGGACTTAAACAATCAGGGAGACATCATGTTCTCTTACCCTGGACAGGGATATCCACCATTTTACCAGTGTGAGATTTTCTTATCTCACCCTAGGGTTGAGACAAGCTACACGTGTTCTTTGCACGTTCTCAACAATTGTATGACGTCATAGCAACAATACCATGACGTCACGGCAACAATACAAACCGCATCAGTACCGTTAGCGTGGTATTTAGACAGAGGGGTACGAACAGCACTATCCGTTCATTTCTCATTCGAGTTGAATTTTCTCCTCAAAAGGGTGACGAACTAAACTTTCCAATCTAACCCTGTTGAGTGTGGAATTTCCTTTTGTCTCCGCACAAAGATCTGATATTTAAACAAGCCTATTGATGTGCTCAAGTCCAACTGTTAGAGGAGTCTGATTTAGGATATTGTACTAGATGCTCTGAAATGCAGGATTTGACTCCTTAAACCATGAATAAACAGAACGACATTGAAGTCAATAGGATGTTTAATTAGGCGCTATCTAAAAGGACGTCAACACTCTTCAGATATGCACAATTCTATTTCAAATCAATTAAATGTAAATTAAATATGAAGATTCTCCCTTCTTGTTTGGACAACCGCTTTTCTGTAGAAGAAAAATTCATCTCTTAGAGGAATGTGTTTGTCAAAGCTCTTCAGATGGGTTTGCTATGGAACATGATCCACGGAATATTTTTGATTTCAGTAATTTGCGGTTAAAAGTCATGTCTACTATTTCAGATGAAAGAGTTAGGGCACATCGTTATCGAAGGTAGCACTCGGATGTGGTCTTATATGGTAAGTTATCAATGAATTTATCAAGCGACTTTAACAAAGCTGAACGTATGTAATTACGTCCTTATTAGCCAGTAATGGGATATTGAAGGATTTGTGTTGGTACAAAAAACATTGAGTAGTTCCTCTGTTCAAATGACACCATTTGTCAGGAGGGTGTTTTGAATATGGAATATTGGTTTTAGCGATGTTCACCTTTTGGAGTAACTTATTTCGATCAACAAATTCATTTGTAAAACATTTTCCTTTCTTCCATTCATTCAAAAGATAACTCCAAACATGTGTAAAACAATTGTATTGAGCATTCCAAAACCATTCCAAAACAGGAATATAGTGGTGAGTTACATGGAGACATTTCCGCTTCTTATAGCCTAAATTATACCTATATATATAGTAATACTTCTGATAATACACGATTAACCAAGAGAAGGTAATTAATGCCTGCCAATTTTATAATGAATTTATATAGTGTTTCCGCTTTGGACACTTAACCTTTGTTGCACGAATACGTTATCAGTTATGTTATGTGGTTGAATGTTAATTAATACTTTTTGATTCTTGTTATTTAATGTTTGTTATAAGAATACGTTATAATTTATGTTGCTGTTAATACGATTTGACAAGTATGGTGCGTACACACATCAACGATTTTATTAAATAGATGCGAGAAAAATCCTTTCTTTGTAAGAACGACGTGGGCTTAGCGCCCTTTGTGCGTTTTATATGACATATAGAATATCAACAATAATGTTGAACTGACGTAGTACTGTGACAATAAGATCGTTACTCATTTCCGGTTAATCAGAACACGGTCAGCTAAGTGTATCAGCTGGTCAATAAAGTATGAAAATAAAACGTAAAGTTTACATTATGGTACAATGACCACACAAACATTGTGGTTTTCACTTCTGCTGTAAACTAAACATAACCAAATTTTGCGTCATTGATGACGCCGTAGTCATTAGTACTGTTAACAATATATGGCCTCTGAATAACCATACACTCAAACAATACTAATAAGGTTGAAGTCTCAATATAGGAATGTACAATTCAAATGACGATTTTTATGTTAAACTCTTCTAATACAAGACAAAAATGTTAAATATGTTACATGCTGTTAAGAAAATGACTTAAACATTCAATTTGATTCTCTTAACATCGTATGATTTTTTTTTATTTATCATACTGTCTTTAAAGTAAATATGTATCAATACTTATATATTGCTTCCACTTAGTGGTAATTATAGTCCCTGCACCGAGCTTATTACGAATTAGATTCTTGATCATTATTAATCCTTATATATATATTCATATGAAAACGTTTTCAGCTTTCTAGAATTAACAAAATATTTAAAAAAAAATGTAAAACGGAGATTAATAAAGATATGTGATTTTATCACGAACGTTGGTAAGCCGTTTGAATATTTATCTGTTAATCTATCCACTGTAGTACAAATAAAAAATTGTGAATATTCCTTTTAAGTACAATATGTAATGAGGAAGCTAATTAACTTATTAATGTTGTTTGAACAATTAAGATAACAATGTTGACTGGTTAACACGACTGAAATTAGGTATCAAGCTCAATAAGTTAAATTCATAAATCAACGCAAACGGAATCTTATTGAAATAAGATAATTATCAAACCATAATTAATATTCAAATTTTCATAGATTCACAATATATTATACATGATGTTTGTTATTCATGCGGATATGTTTTAATAATAATCGAAAGGTAAACTAGACCTTAGATACCGTTAAGCTGAGGTGACTCGAGACACATATGTGTCATGTATAGATTCGAGTTACACGTGGTATCAGAAGTCAGTGAACCGTAGCCCCCGGATGCGTCATCATTCACGGACAGAAGGGGATACTGTTTTGCACCCAGTATACGTATCAGTCATTGTTTAGCTGACCGTTCTGATATAGTGTTAATGATCCCACACCACTCACACACTCACCTGTACAGGTGAGACGATACCTAAATCCTAGTTTTTACAAATAGGAGATAATTTAGTTAAACCAATTTCTATACACCGATAGACTAATTTGTTAAACGGACAAGATGAGATTTGGATATGATATCGGTATAGCGTCCAATTGTGAACGGGTGTACCCCTTCCTCTTGTTTATGAGTACCTCTCCTTGTTTGCCGGTACGTGTCCCCGTATTTAGGGTCCCATTGTCGCAAGTATCCGTTAGTCACACCTGAGGGAGTCATCGAAATTATTTCTCATCAAAGGCCACCCACTCTGGACAGCCCCTTATCATACCCCAGAAACCTATGGATGGAAGGCAAGGAGTAAATAGGGTGTTTAATGGGCCAATAACGCTAATCCTGTTAGGGTAATGGCCAAAGTAGGCTGGTCCATCTTAAATTGGATTTCTATCATTTACACTGATTAGATTAACAACAGGGTGTTTAGATAATCAAAGGTGCTATCAGGATCCCACACTTCCAGCGTTGTCACGGCACAGTTGTTCAACGGAAACTCATCCTAACCACCACAACAAGCTTTGCATTAGGTGTATATTAAAACTGTTCAATTCATAACTGTATAGGGGTTTGAATTATCTCCAAAAAAGAAAAAAAAAACCGCCAAAATGTTTTTAAATTACAATTAATTTGCCAAAAGACTCGTTATCAAAGCCGACTTTACATATAACAGTATAACTATGGGGAGATTGTTTCTCTACTAAATGCTAACATGTCAGGGTTTTGTACCGGTGACAGGGTAAGTCTGGTCCTGTCAACAATGTTTAGAGGCATATGAGTTTTGTTACATAAAACTAGATACTTTCGGTGAGGTTTACTAACTGTATGCAATTGTTAGACTGGCCACTGTCTCTAGAATATTAAATAACTAAGAAAAAACTAGCTCTAATAATTTTGATCACTTGGATGTCTGATTCTAAACTAGGGGGAGATAAGCTAGTAGTAAAATGCAGTCGAGACATTCTTCATAAAAACTTAGGGGCTGGTGGCCAGTCTATGCAATTGTGTGTATAAGAAATTATTGTAAAATTAAGGTCTTTTACATGTGTATTTCCCTTCCTTACTTTTTATGTCATTTAACTCCAGATATTTGTTTTTTGAATAATATGGGTTTTGCTAACCATTTTACCCAAACTCTTTTATTTCTACAGATTTCCATTGAATTATTCTTTGCACTCATCCCACTGGAGGTGACTAAAGAGGGGGGAGGCTATCTATTTCATTCATTTCTGCATTATTGTTTGTTATCCTTTGTCTCACCTAACGTGGTGTATCGTTAGTTTCTGTTTATATATGTTCTTGTGGTGTGGTGTATCATTAGTTTCTGTTTATATATTTTCTTGTGGTGTGGTATATCGTTAGTTTCTGTTTATATATTTTCTTGTGGTGTGGTATATCGTTAGTTTCTGTTTATATATTTTCTTGTGGTGTGGTATATCGTTAGTTTCTGTTTATATATGATCTTGTGGTGTGGTGTATC